CTCTGACCAGCCATCATGAAATGCAAGAGCTAAAAAAAAACACAAGTTAAAACTGAATCAAGTTGAGTAAAAATTGTAAAGTTTCCAAAGTGCTGTAAAAACGCGGTTACAGACTTGAGAATAAGCGGCTTTCAGTCAGCGGCTGTGAAGGTGTTCAGGGTAGAGGAGGTAAGCTTGGACATAAAACAAGGGCTCTATTGTTCTACGCTGGCGAGGCAGTGCACGTTGCCCTCACTTACTCTGCGACCCTCGCTGACTCTAAATCGCGTTATTTCGGATGGAAACACTTTTACTATAGGCTTCTTTCTATTCGCACTCTCTTACACTGACTTCTTCGAAAATTCAGTCATTCACTGACACGGATCTTAAAAAAATGCAAAAAGAGTTCCGAAAACGGCACAGTAAAAGTTAAAAGTTGAAAATCTGGGACCGCAAAACACGAGCGTCCGCTCTTTACCACGGCTGAAACTTGAAACGCGATAATATTATTATATTATCGCGTGATCGGTGGAACGGCCTACCAGTGGAGATTGCCGAGGCACCAACGATGAACTATCGCAAGAATATACTCAACTTGGTCATGCGTTGTAATCTGTACAGTATAGAAGAGCCTTATACCAGAATACGACTACTGGACAGATAGTATAACATGTGAAGCTTTGAATATAGACATTGCCAGGGCTCATACATTTGGCAGCTATGCGAGTCAGGTACAAGACGACGAGATTCAGGGACAGGCCATGACCGGCTCAATCATCATTTGCACTGACTCATGAGAAGCTAGCGTGTTCTGAAAATTTGAGAGGAAATCATTAGATACTAATTTTAGAATTTAGTTTACCAAACTTAGTCGTAATTCATTGTCTTGACAGAATGCACAGAACTAAGACCAATCTTCAAAATCTTGGCCCAATTCTTAGGAGCCTCCACGTGATGCATACAGCGTCATATGGGGCATTCATATGACGCTGCTGATTCAAAAATGATATTTGATCGTTGAATCCTAAATGAATATGCATAGTACACAGTTAATCAATAGTAGGTAGTTTGATGAATGTGACTGAAATCTATAGATATCGTCAGGAAAATTCTCATTTCAACCAAAGTTCCCTGGGTTTTAAATCTATTGACGAGTTCCTGGCGAGAAATTCGATTAAAGAAATTTGTACGAAAATTTGAACGCAATATTTAAAAAAGCATCGTTCAAGAAATCATATGGCGCTAAAACATGTTGTCATGCGACAGAGCTCAATATCGAGAATTGTACCGTTTGAACTACGGGACATCCTCAGGTCGGACAAAACTTTGCGTGGGTTACTGCGTGGGCAATATTAAGGCCGATTCGGCACGCTTTTTCCTCAATTCATAACCAATGGCTATGAAATTGAATACACAACATTCAATGCTCATTGTGCTGAAGCGAGGGCTTTTTTTAATTTTAAAATCTTCACGCTTTCAATTAAAACGGTAAAACAGATTAATACAGCCGGCTCCGAACGCTTTTTTCCCTCAATTCCACACCCAATAATTATAATATTGAAAACACTGTTTTAATGACCACTGCACATTAAAAAGGATATTCGTTGAATCCTGAATTGCTATGCAGGATCTACTTGACCTCAGTTCACAATTCCGGTGTTCACAATAAATTAAACTCTGCTTTGATCTGAATACAAAAGATCATAATATAATAATTAGTCAGTCGTCAAGGAAACAACATCGATTTACACCAATATCATTTGCTTTATTTTTTTTCAAATTTTCAAGCTTCACAAAAAACCATCGAATTTATTATTGTCGTTTAAACGTTGAAATTTGGCCATCGTGAAAATTTATTTCGACTGGAAATAAGAGCTACGAGCGGTAAACTGGCTACGAAAACGCGCAGCACTCGAAAATTTAGAACTCACAAATAAATATTGGGCTACCAAAATATCACAAATAAATTAGAAACCACAAAACTCCAAAACACAAATAAATGAAATCTCATAATATTTTTTAGATTTTTATATCCACTCATTTGCAAGAAAATGGTAAACGAGTCGAACCTAACTTGGCTAACCTAACCATGACCTAACCTAATGGAAAATGGCAGTAGGTAAAAATGTAACAAATGCCCTGGCCAGAGCGCAATGGTTATTAAAATGGTGGATTTCATTAAAAAATTATTGGTTATGAATTGAGTGAAAAAAGCCAGACGAACCAGCCGAATCGACCCGTTTTGCCATTCCTATTGAAGACCGGACGAGGCATTAACGAAAAAAACCTTGCCACTGCGCTATGGGTTTAATGTGTATTGAACTCGGTGTATTTAATTTCATAATTACTGGTTACGAATTGAATACACCAGGCGTGCCGAATCTGGATGGCCCACGCTAACGCTACGGGCTCGCCAAGCTCCCGCGTATCCACGTTAGCCGCGTTGCTACGCCGCCATATTTGTATCACACTGGCGCCTCAGCTTACTCTCTCGTTCCTACACATTTGGACGTTTTGGTAGCAATGGAAAAAGAAAGAACAAAGCAGAAATGATTAGGCTGTTGTCAAAAACTCCTTCCTTCAGTGGGAGACCGATATTTAAGAAAAATGTTCGACATTAACGATGTTGATCCCAACGAAGTGCCGGCAAAGCCGTGATGTGCAGATTTTTAACACGGGGATTTACTAAACTATTTGATGTTTGGTGGTCAGCCAATACACATTGCAAGAATTCAAGGCATACAAGACGCTTGAAGCTTACAAACAATTTGTGGATGGATGGGTACAGGCGATGGAGCAACGAAACTTCAACGAATCAAGAAAGGCGATCGATGTACTTGGTAGAGTTAGTTTATTAGTACAACTGGACGAAGATAATGATGCTGAAGAATGGAACCTTCTAAGAATGGAAAATGAAATTCCTTTTCACCTTTTTTAAGAGGAAAAGGATAGAATTTTATCAATGCTCACCAGGTAACCAGGGTTCGGACGGCTCATAGTAATACCGATCCCGATATTGGACGCGCTCATGTGACACCTCAGACCACAGAACTTACCAACAACACACCAATTCACCAGAAACCTCGACGTTTTGCAAAACCAATTTATATTGAAATTAAAAGGCAAAGTAAAGAACTGGAAACATTTGATGTTATAGAACAAAGCGAATCATTTTGATCTTCCAACAAACCAGCCAACTGCAACAACACTATCATCGCTGCAGGATAATGAATCATGACAATGTTATCTGATCTGTAAATATTATTACGTTTTATTCTTACTCATGTAGCATATCTAAAGGCAAGTAACAGATTTTGCCCCTGGAAAATGCATAGTATCGTATATAATAAATATTCACGGCTGGTAAACTGACATGCGATACGTATATTAGTACGAGCCATAAACTGATACGATATACACGGCATTCACGGCTAGTAAACTGAATAAACGCATTCAATTGTAAAGTTTTCTGTCTAAATGGCCGTGAGAACGACTGGTACATCCTACAACGGTGCAGGAGCGTCCCATCTTCAAGCAAAAACTTCAAAAAGAGACGATCGCAGTAGATTTAACACGTAGGCGAAAGCTAGACCCTGCTACAAATATGGCGGCCGATTCCACAATGCATCTGGCGATTCGGTGCCGTGACGTCATCCTTTCGAGCCCGAATATCTCCAAGAAAATTAATTACAGTGGGGGGAAATAAATATTCGTACACTTGAAAAATCGTATTTTAATGTATGTAAGTACACAAACTTAACAGGAAAAGTGATTTAAATTATGTATAGAGACGCATAGTATTCAAAAATACTATCAAAAGAAATTAAATCTCAATGCAACATGTTCACTTTTCGGGGTGAAAAAAGTATTCGTACAAAACAACAAATCCGCATTATTTTAATTTAATACTCGGTTGAATACCCTTTATTCAGCTCAACAGACACCAATCTATTTCTATACGTCTCGACCAATGATTTGCAGATGCTGACTGGTATTTTATACCATTCTTCTTGGCACACCACCTTAAGATTCTCTAATGTTTGTTGGGGACCATTTCTTAATTTGAATCTTCAAATACCGCCACACAAACAACTAATTCTATCGCGTTGGAAGGAAGGAGAAAGTTATAGGAAGATTGCTAGCCACTTGAATGTTCTTTCCTTTTAGTACAGTTGCTTCGCTCATTGGACGCTTCAAGACCCGTGACAGCGTTGAAAACCAAAGACGATCAGGTGCTCCTAGGAAGATTTCTGCACGATCTGCTAGATTATTGGGACGAAAAATCCAAGAAAATTGAATTTCAGATCTCTAGAACAATCAAAAGTGGGCTAATTTTCGTTGTCAATGTTAACAACAAACAAACAAACAAACAAACAAACAAATAAACAAACAAACAAACAAACGCGAAGCTAAGCTAAGAAAAACGTGTTAATAATAAAAAGCCAGACGAACCAGCCGAATCGACCCGTTTTGCCATTCCTATTGAAGACCGGACGAGGCATTAACGAAAAAAACCTTGCCACTGCGCTATGGGTTTAATGTGTATTGAACTCGGTGTATTTAATTACAAAATTACTGGTTACGAATTGAATAAACAAGGCGTGCTGAATCTGGATAACCCCCGCATTAGCCCACGCTAACGCTTATGCACTATTGTCCGACCGGTGGGAAATCCGAAAGAGATCTTCTGGATGTATGTACATTCTTGTACCCACTTGTATCGAAATACGATCAAAAGGATCAAAATATTGGATGTACAAATTGCGACGCTATTCATAACAATCTCCAAGAAAATGAATTTTGTACATATAGGTACCCATTTTCGCCATATCAAATTGTTATAGCTAGTTTTTTCAATTTCATCCAGGTCTATTACGTGTGAAAAAAATGTCCATGCAAAAATGAAAATTATTCGTTAAACAATCACTCACATATGCAAGTTCTGCCAACATAAAATTTAGCCGCTGCAGCGGATTCAAAGCTCCTGTAGCAATAAATTCCGGTTTTTTAGATGCTGAAAATGTTCATTTGAGGCGTTATGATAATTTATTGATCGAAAACTTTTTTCTTAGACAGTGAGCATTACAGTGCGCCAATTCACCTGTTGGTGCAGGTTCTGCATGTAGATGCAAGTGGAGAAGAAAATTGAAGAAAAATTAACAAACTGTTCAACAAAAGAAAAAAGTCCCTGACAAAACAGTCAAAACTCAGTTGACATTTGACTTGTGTAGGCAGTGTAGCTAGCCGCTAGGTACTCTGAGACCTGAGTCTGTACTCAGAGACCAGAGTCTCAGTCTAAACTCTCAAGTCACCAAGCCAAGTTCTCAGAATGTGGTTTCAATATGGGAGACAAATTTTTTCAAACCGTAAAATTCTAATCAAAGTATTCCAAGTGCCATGTTCATGTATGTCAGCTACTCCTGGTTTTAATCCAAAAAAAATTCTCATCCTAACTAAATTATCCCGGTATGATTTTGAAAGAAGATTACATCCAAATCTTAGTGAAGATCAATTAAAGTCTAGTTTATATGCCAGAGGTTCTGATTATCACATGCTGCTTCATTATCACAATGTACACAAGGTAAGCACTAGCCACTGAGCACTAACGTGACTAAGCAGCAGCTTGAAATTCTAAGTCATTTTTTAAATATAATTACTTAGACATGTATTACCTAGGTAGTCTTACTCTTACGGTCCTTGTTAGATAAAGTCCTACTTTTTTTTCTGAAATATTGTGGCTCTAATATCTTGTAATTCCAGTAGTGGTAGTAGGTGGCTCTAAAGTGATATTTTTTTTCTTTGACTGAAGAAAGCACAGTTCACAAATATGTCATAAATTTTACAAAATTTTAAACTTCCGCAGAAGCGTAATCAGTACCACATTCCCGTTACAATATCCTGCATAATGAGTGAACCCAAAACAATGAAAACATTTCAATGGGGATAAAATAGTTGCTGTTACTACGTCAGAGTCCATAGTGGCAAACCAGAGATTTTTTAGAATCAGTTCATTTTTAATTTCCTCATTTACTCAAGATTTGAACCAATTTCTTATGTATGATAATGCTGGTATCCATGATACGGTACTTTACTTGTCTACTTATAGGACTCAAAAATGAACTTGAGGGAGAGTCTAAAAAACTCTCTGCTTTGCCACTATGCGTCAGACTGCACTATAACTGCATTTATTCTCTATCTAAAACATTAATCATAAGTTATAACATGCTCAATTGCCACTAAAGTGAAGACTTGAAGACATATGGTGTTTTTGATAATGATGTTTCTAGGGTAAAAGTAGAGATTTTGAATAACATGTGTAGGTATGGGATTTGCAAACAAGTTTGTTGCTCATAAATGGCTTTTCACTACCTGGATAATGAATATGGTATTCACGGCTCCAATAAATGGAATCACGGCTTGCAAATCAATAAAATCACCGCTCAAGAAATCCAGTTGTGCTACAGAGAGTAAATGTTATCTTCACTAGTAGTTACTGTCTTTGTCATTAATAAGTACCTAGTCAAGTTTGAAAAATTTGACTATTACTTGAATTATGAATAGCATATGGCAATAAAATTAATTTTATAAAATTTATAATCTCTTTACTTCACAGTTCTATATTTTAATTCATATGGAAATAAAATGCTAAAGCATTGTGGATTAGAGTGGAAAAAATTTAATTTTCTGTTTCTGGCCACTACAAAATTTTTTAAGACATTGACATGAGTTTGTCTAACTTTACTTTGCTGCCTTACTCAGGAACCTATCTGGAGAATTTAATGAAATGAAAGTGTCCATGATTGAGAGCAATTATACCTAGTCTAATGGCCTTTACCAATTTTTTTCTTAACAATCAAGAAAAATGGCAAATTATGCCTGTGATTTTTTGGTACTTTTTGCCTCATGAAATGGTCTTTGTTATCTGCAATTTCTGAAAAATTTCGCCCAGTATTTTAGAATGGTGCTTAGAAAGATGTAGGCATGTGAGAAATTTCATCATATAAAATGAGCTGTCTGTAGTCAATGGACCATGTATGATGTAGTTTGTGCTGGACTATCCCAATCTGATCAATTGTTAGAGACGATCATGCAGACAAAGTGGCTATGCCGGCAGCCATCACTGATCGTATGAATGGTCACTAAAACTTTCACAAGCATAACTGCAGGCCGTGAAGACCATAAGCAGGAAGATGCGCACCGTGCATGGAATTTGTGCTATCATTTTCACTATGCCCACAGTGCGTTGTAATTCGTTGAAAAATAAATGTGCCCTGCACCAAAATTGGTTTGAAACTGAATGCGCGATCGCACGTGAACGTATCCTGGCGTCGCACGGCAATGCACGATTGCACGTACGTGTATTACTGTACATACACACGGTAATGCACGTATGTGTACATACGATCGTATCCTTACGCTACGAAGCTATGCACGTGACCGCAATAGGTACCGGGCAGCCGTAGCTGCCATTGCTACTGGCACCAGCCGACAGTGAACGTATGTACGGTCTTGAATACGCATACGTGCATAGCCGCGCGGTGCAGGGATACGGTCTCGCTGCTGGCATCGAACGAATGTGCGCCATCTTCTCGTATACGATTGTGTGCAGAGTTTTTTTTTGGACATGATTCTTTTTGCAAACATCGTGTCCGAAAGATATACCNACACGCCGCGATGTTCACACGCCGCGATGTTCACACGCCGCGATGTTCACACGCCGCGATGTTCACACGCTGCGATGTTCACACGTCGCGATGTTCACACGCCGCGATGTTCACACGCCGCGATGTTTACACGCCGCGATGTTCACACGCCGCGATGTTCACACGCCGCGATGTTCACACGTCGCGATGTTTACACGTCGCGATGTTATAATTTATGACAAGCAGTTGGCCGCTTATCTGCTTGTCCCAAGCGCAACGGACTTGAATCTCGGCCATTTATATTTGGCAAACTATCAAAATAGTCCCAAAATTATATAAATTCTCTCATGTTAAACGAAAAGCTTAATTAGTTTCTTTGCTAAGCCGTAATTCTTTTATATTGCTGCAAAACATGTGTTTGTATTATCCTTTTATGTTTGTTAAATAAGATGTTATATATTTTACTAAGACATGACTTCTTGAGGGTAAGACATGACCTCTTGAGGGTAAGACACGACCTCTTGAGGGTAAGACGCGACTTCTTGAGGGTAAGACACGACCTCTTGAGGGTAAGACACGACTTCCTGAGGGTAAGACACGACCTCTTGAGGGTAAGACACGACTTCTTGAGGGTAAGACACGACTTCCTGAGGGTAAGACACGACTTCCTGAGGGTAAGACACGACATCTTGAGGGTAAGACACGACATCTTGAGGGTAAGACACGACATCTTGAGGGTAAGACACGACATCTTGAGGGTAAGATACGATTTTTCGAGGGGTGAGACACGGTCGTGCTGGTGGTCGTTTTTCGCCTTCTCCCAGTTTTAGCCCCCATTTAAAAATAGTAATGTAGTACATAGTAATGGTACCTAATAGGCTTTTACAATAAATTTCTTCTAAGTTACTTGCCAATATTGAAAAATTAGTTTGTGGGACGAGACTGAGTACCATATTTCCAAAAAATTAGTCATTGCTGTAAATCCTTCAAATGCCTTTTTTCTAATTTAACAAAACTTCGTGATGTGCAGTATAGGGCAGACAAACGTACACAGTTGAATGACTGAAAAAAATGCCCTTACACAGAGATTCCCCGCCAAATTGTAGCCAGTGCATTTGAAATGCCACCTCTTAAAATTATAGCCAGTGCTTTTTGAATGCCATGATCAAGTCGTTCCTTACCTTCAGAAGTATGCGTTCGTCTCTTGCATCTTCTGACCATCTTGCCTTTATTTCCAGAGAGTGGAGCAAGCTGTTGTTCAGGCCTTTGATGAGACTGGAATAGAGACCAAAGTTGTTAACCGCCTTGAGTATTGCGATGCTCTCATTGCGTGGGCTGATGCAGTAGTCACTACGGGCGGTGACGGCACTTACCTGCTAGCGGCGTCAAGGATACGTGACAGAAGCAAGCCTGTCATTGGCTTCAATTCAGACCCTACGCGCTCTAAGGGGCAGCTCTGTCTTCCTGAGAAATATTCAGCCTCTCCCAGAACTGCTGTGGCTCAGTTACGCAGAGTGAGTATTGGGTCTCTTACTTAACCTGTTGAAATTAAAGATCACAATGATACTTTTATTTACATGCTTATTCGAAGCCCAAAACCTAGTGATTACATCACCAGATTTCTAGATATACTTTTTTATTTATTCATGTTTTAATACGTTAGTGAAATTTCAAGATGAGTGCTATAAGCTAAATGAAAACCAGTTCTTTTTGCCAGGGGCTTTTCAGATGGCAGTATCGATCCCGCATATACTTTTTTATTTATTCATGTTTTAGTTTTAAATTTAATACATTAGCGAAATTTCAAGATGAGTGCTATAAAATAAATGAAAACTAGTTCTTTTTGCCAGGGGCTGTTCAGATGGCAGTATCGATCCCGCATCAGAGTGACGCTGCGCGGTGAACACATTTACCAAGCACCAATTGAACTGCACGACCAGCAGCTCCTCAACCCGGAGTACAGGTGAACACTCGTGTCCATTTTTGAACAAATTATTTTAACTGTGACCAAATGATAACTGATTTGTTTTACAATGTTTTTGAAACAAATGATTGTTTCACAATGTTTCTGAAACAAATGTTTGTTTCACAATGTTTTTTAAACAAATGTTTGTTTCACAATGTTTTTGAAACAAATGTTTGTTTCACAATGTTTGTTGTGCTAGGCATATATGTGATAGTATATTTATTCTTTTCAGATATTTGGACATCGATGCAAACTTGAAGAGTGAACATGTGCGGCACTCCTTGTCAGAGTGGGGCCAGGCTGACCCCTCGCTGCCTACAAGAGTTCTTCCTGTATTGGCTCTCAATGAGGTCAGCAAATCCTGTTTGTTTCTTAACTTTGTTCAGTTGAACGCTATTTTGAGGGATTGTTTGATTTCACTTCGAGCGACACGCTTTCTTTTTGATCAGGTTACACACGAGTGTTAATACATCTGGTTACACACGCGTGTTAATATACCAGGTTACACACGAGTGTTAATGTAAAAAGTTACACACGAGTGTTAATGTAAAAAGTTACACACGAGTGTTAATGTAAAAAGTTACACTCGAGTGTTAAGTATAAAGCTACACATGAGTATTAATAATGCCAGTTTTATTGAGAATATCTTTTGAGTTTAATCTCTCAAGCTTTCTGATAAGAGGTACAGTAACAGGGTCAATAAGTCTTAAAATTTGCCCAAATGGAAACATGTTTAAATGAAGGGCTCTTCCCTAAATATACATGAGTATTAATGTATAAAGTTACACACGAGTGTTAATGTATAAAGTTACACACGAGTGTTAATGTATAAAGTTCCACACGCGTGTCAATACACCAGGTGTTCATCGGGGAGTGCATATCAGCGCGCGTGTCGTACCTGGAGTTGCAGTTCGACGACCAGGCGCCAGGGAAGCACAAGTGCTCAGGTCTCATCGTCAGCACGGGCACAGGCTCCACGTCCTGGACCTACAACGTCAACAAACTCACCGAGCAGAACCTCGAGCAGGCAAGTGCTCTGATCTTCTGGGGTATTTCTTATCACGTTCAGTGAATCGGGAGAAAAAAGGCCAATGGTTGAGAGGTAAAATCGCGAGGAGCTAGATTTACTTGATTTAGAATGTGTAAGTTTAGTCATCAAGAAGATATTTAGTGATTAGAGAGCTATTTCAAGCTAAACTCATTAAAGTAAACGGCACATGGGAGTACTAGATCTCAACTGTCTTCCATATACTATAATACTCCCTGTACTGATATATTTTTTGGGCCTCGTTTTTATCCTTCTCCGTACGAATCACGTAATTATTAAAAGGCTTTGTTGAGGTTTGTTTTCTGCAGAAATTAAATCTACATTGTGTTAATGCTTATATATAAAAATATTGTTTATTTCAGGCGTTGCTTATACTGGAAGAGGTCACTGGCAGTCCTAAAAATTTCTCACATCCTGCGCTGGTTGCCAAGGTAAAATAAATATTGATGTCTGAAATGTTTTTCACCAGCTGCTCGTGCTCATATCATGTAATAGCTGAAGAGGATGTATGGACATTTCTGAATCCCTTCGAACTCTCTCACGTCTCAATGGCAAGCGTTTTAATTTCACTCTTTGCTGCCGTTTCAGAATTTTCATTGGTAAATCATTTATCATTTCTACGAACCATGACCCAAAGGAAGTCAATATTCATTGTTTTGCAGGTGGCAGACGAGTTCAACATCCTCGCCCCTTTCTACCCGTCCTCTCTTCCACTTTTTCTCCTTTCCCCTCCTCCACTATTCCCCTGTTGCACCCTCTTCTCTCTCTTCCCCCTTTTTGTTCCACATTCCTCATCCCCACCAGCGTTCCCCTCATCCTCCCTCACACTCCCCTCACTCCTCCCTTGTTCGTTCTTCTCTACATTATTCCTCATCATTCCTCACCCATTATTCCCCATCATTCCTCACCCACCACATTTTAATTACAGTCCCCCCTTCCGGCCCCTTCCCGCATGCCTGAACAATTATGCGACAAGACAAATCTTTAATTAATCAAAGCTGATATGCATTGTTCCAAGCATTAATTGATCAAAGCTAATCATGGTAATGTTGCATTGTTATTAGTATTAATTTATCAAAGCTAATCACGATAATGTTGCATTATTATTAGAACTAATTGATCAAAGCTAATCATGGTAATGTTGCATTGTTATTAGCATTAATTGATCAAAGCTAATCACGATAATGTTGCATTGTTATTAGAATTAATTGATCAAAGCTAATCACGATAATGTTGCATTGTTATTAGAATTAATTGATCAAAGCTAATCACGATAATGTTGCATTGTTATTAGCAATAATTGATCAAAGCTAATCACGATAATGTTGCATTGTTATTAGCAATAATTGATCAAAGCTAATCACGATTATGTTGCATTGTTATTAGCATTAACTGCTTAAAGCTAATCATTATAATATTGCATTGTTATTAGCATTAACTGCTTAAAGCTAATCACGATAATGTTGCATTGCTACTAGAATTAATTGATGAAAGGTAATCATGATAATTTTGCACTGTTTTTATCATTTATTGATTAAATCTAATCATTATGATATTGCATTGTTATTTGCATTAATTGCTTAAAGCTAATCTTGATAATGTTGCATTGTTACTAGCATTAATAGATCAAAACAAATCATTATATTATCACATGTCAATTTGATATTATTAATATAATAATGTTAGTAAATTAACATTAATTTAATAACAGAACGTCGCGAAAACTGTCACGGACATCGCGTGCTGCCATGTCGTGGCAGTGGCAATTTTACTGTCGGTATCTGGTGGCAAGCATGCCATCGTTATTGCTAACATGTATATTGAAGGCCACTCAACATGTAACACATTATAACCACTCAACAGCCTACTCTATAGAAGCCCACTCAACAGCTATCGTTACTATACGTATATATCGTGACCGGAACCTGTGATGAACTCCACGGATTTTGCTCCCAGCATTTTAGTATCTGTCATCCGACCGCGTAAACTAAGCCTACTACCGGAAAACTATTATATTATATTATATTATATTATACTAAATTTGATCATCCATTGGTGACTGATCACTAGAGTTACCATTAATATTAAATGTTTCTCATAAAGCCAGCCGTACGGCAATGAATACATTAATGTTGCGTTTCTACTCTCGACGTGAATCTCTAAGCCGTAATCTTATATTTTATTCAATATTTGGTCGCACGGAGGGAAATGATAAGATTTTTACGCTTTGAATTTTATCGCTGACTGTACAAGATCTTCCATTGAAATAATTAATTTTACTAAATCAGTGACATTTTTCCCGTCAACTTCATGTGGTTGCAACAGAACAGACAATTATTTATTCATATCACTTATATAATTTCAGTCCCGTGGTGCCGGCAACAGCTGATGAAAGGCAAAAAATATGAAGAAACGCGCTAAAGGCAATAGTAGTGCGGGCAAGGAATGTGGGACACGGGGTACAGTGGGATATGGGACGCAATGGGACACGGGGTACAGTGGGACANCCTCACTCCCCTCACTCCCCTCACTCCCCTCAGGTATGGTTCCAGAACAGGCGAGCCAAGTTTCGTAAGCAGGAGCGATTGGCGCAACAGAAGGTGCAGCAGCAACAGCAACAGAGCTCCACCTCCACCTCCACCACCACCACCTCCAGCTCCACCTCCTCCACCTCCAGTAACAACAACAACAACAACGAAAGTGGAGCAAACTCCGCAAACGCCTCCCCAACTTCCACCACTGGCCCTGTCGCTAAGGTATTTCCCAATATGATTTCCACTCCGTAATTTTTTGCACCGTTAATATCTGGTTCCGTTAATTTTCTGTTTCGTTAATATCCTGTCAGTTGTTTTCTCCTTGTTTAGATTTCGGTCTCGTTAGTTTCCAGCCCTGTCCATTTCGCCCAAAAAAATTGAGATGCTGGCCCGACTCTGAAACAGGTGCCGCCTAAGATACGGGGAGCAGTTAAATCAGCCGCTAATGTTCTTCAGTTTAAGGTTGAAGAGCAGCCTCTGGGCAGCTTGCTAGCTTTGTATGACTCGGCTCGGCCAACTCTTATCATACTATCAAGACACACTTATCATACTGACAGGACACACTTATCATACTCTCAGGACACACTTATCATACTTTCAGGTCACACTTATCATACTTTGAGGACACACTTATCATACTCTCAGGACACACTTATCATACTTTGAGGACACACTTATCATACTCAGGACACACTTATCATACTTATCTTACAGGCGACTATACAGTTGGAAAGGAGATTTTGACGAGAAACTTATTTCGATCAGGTGGCCGATAACATCCTCCATAAATTTCCGCCGAATGTAGCGACTCTTGGGCAGAATTTTAGGCGGTCCCAAAATTTTATTATATTTAAGCTGTTAATATACATGCAGTCCCACTAATTTCCTCAAGGGTAATTAACCTCCCTCAGCTTAGTAAATATAGAATCATTCACTAATATTCTTTTGATTCTCTGTTTATTCTAACTTTTATTTAATTTTTTAATCTTTTTTCGCATTCATATAATTCCTATAGATGTAATAATTTTTTGTTTAATTGAGTTATCAAAATTTAAATAATTCTTATTAATATCATGGTTATATATCTCACAATTATATCCAATATATATACAAAATATGTATATTATATTCTACCCCTCCTTCCCCTCTCCCCCCACACAGCTGGAGGGGAAATGCTCGTCCCAGCGACGCAAGGAAGCCCCCGCCGCCCCCCACCTGCTGCTCCCCCTGGACAGGCGACTGGTGGCTTTGAGGCGGCTGCGTCACGCAAGCAGCAGCTCAGCGGCATCTCGACTGCGCCGTATCTCGATAAGTGAGTTGCATTTCGTTAGGATCAATTAGCATAACTTGTACTCGACTGATGGTAATTGCCGACGATTTGCCCTCAATACATTTTATTTTTAAATACATTTAAATTTAAGCGATTGATTTACCGTTGGAAACACGGTAAACACATGCCGGGCTAACATATTAGAAAAAAATATAACTCAGTACTCACTGAAGTGAGTGACAGAGAGCGCATTTTCTCGTCGACGAAAACGTGAAGTCACGGACAGACGGACGGACATACAGACAGATGGACGGACGGACATGGCGAGCACAATAGTGCATTTTTTCCATAAATGAGAAAATGCGCTAAAAAGCTCTAACAGCGCCATTCTCTGCGAGGGCATAAAGACGTCTATTGAATATTTATCACAATGTTGAATTAATCGTCGAGGAAAGAGAAATAAGTAAATAAATGCTGTATAGAAACTAATAATAGTGAAAAGTACATCAGTTAACACTGATTGCCTTGAGAAGTACATCTTTAGATATTAATCACCCATATAGGAATGTCTTGTAACGGCTAATCGTCCGTGGTAGGATTATGTTACGGCTGTTACAGACTGATCAAATGAGAAGGACGTCGTTAACGCACTCCTCTTCCAGTGACAGACTCTTTAAAGTAGATTGTAGGTGTCTCTGCAAGGTATAGAATAGATCGTCCTCTCCTCACCCTCCATGCGGTGCACAATCGCGGCGATCTGCGAGTGATGAAATAATCGCACCGATTAATTAATTAATCGCATTAATTAATGTGCGATTAATTAATTAATCGCACTGATTGCTCTGTAGGCCGCACGCACACGGGGCCACAGCGTAATGTGCACAGGCCATCACCTCAACACTGGTGACCTCATTAGTTTAGGGTTCTCATTGTTGTTTGATTACACAAGCAACAAGGAATAACTATTCTATCATGAATATAAATAAAAGGAAAGTATTCAAAGAGACATTACTTCCTTGTCAGTTTAGGCTTAACGGCAGATTTTTATTGCTTTAGACTTTTACGAGCGCACAGTGAAGTAGGTACCGCTTTTCATCAAACGCTTTGCTCTCCCGTTTTTTCGAGTCATTAGCATTAGTAAATGCAGGCAAGCGTCCTAAGTATAGAAGCAAAATATATCGATCTGAATTAAAAATAGTGAACTTACTGGATCGTGGATAATCTCTGACCGACGTAAGTGGTCAGTTGCATTTATGACTGTGTACAGTAATTATGAAGGCATCGAGCCACGTTATGACCTGTCTCTTATACACATCTAGATGTGTATAAGAGACAGACTGTACCCCGTGTCCCACTGTACCCCGTGTCCCACTGTACCCCGTGTCCCACTGTACCCCGTGTCCCACTGTACCCCGTGTCCCACTGTACCCCGTGTCCCACTGTACCCCGTGTCCCACTGTACCCCGTGTCCCACTGTACCCCGTGTCCCACTGTACCCCGTGTCCCACTGTACCCCGTGTCCCACTGTACCCCGTGTCCCACTGTACCCCGTGTCCCACTGTACCCCGTGTCCCACTGTACCCCGTGTCCCACTGTACCCCGTGTCCCACTGTACCCCGTGTCCCACTGTACCCCGTGTCCCACTGTACCCCGTGTCCCACTGTACCCCGTGTCCCACTGTACCCCGTGTCCCACTGTACCCCGTGTCCCACTGTACNGCCAGTGGTGTTGCCAGTGGTGTTGCCAGTGGTGTTGCCAGTGGTGTTGCCAGTGGTGTTGCCAGTGGTGTTGCCAGTTGTGTTGCCAGTGGTGTTGCCGCCAGTGGTGTTGCCAGTTGTGTTGCCAGTTGTGTTGCCAGTTGTGTTGCCAGTGGTGTTGCCAGTGGTGTTGCCAGTGGTGTTGCCAGTGGTGTTGCCAGTTGTGTTGCCACGGCACTATTTTTAGCGGCGCCGGCAAAGCAAGACGCACGGCACACAAGAGGCTTCCTCCTAGCGTCCTGCTGGGGCATGGAACATGTCACAATCTGAAACATGTTAATAGATGATATACCGTACGTAACATGTTCGCAGCGAGTATATCTCAAATCTATAATATGTTAGTTGGTGATATACATAACATATTCATAGCGAGTCTGCTACCAATACATAACATATTAATGACACAATAACATGTTCGCAACGAGTGTGCTTTTAATCTATAACATGTTAATGACACACATAACATGTTCACAGCGAGCATACCTCCAATCAATTACATGTTAATGACACAATAACATGTTCACGACGAGTGTACCTCCAATACATACCATGTTAATGACACAATAACATGTTCACAGCGAGTCTGCCTCCAATACACAACATGTTAGTAGGTGACACACATAACATGTTCACAGCGAGTCTGCTATCAATACTGTACATAACATATTAATGACACAATAACATGTTCACAACGAGTGTTCACAAGACGCAATATTTTGGCCCGAAAAGATGGCTTCTCACAATTCCCTGCAGGCGCCGCGTCCGCCAAGATGGACGGCCTTTGGGCCGCTGCAATTTATGCCCAGCGTCGCCGGTTCCTCCCAAACTAGACGAATAAGAAAAGTTTTCAAATAAGAAAAATATAACAGGGACTTGTCCCTGAGACCTGAGCCGAGGGCGGCGCATGGAACTGATGGACCCGCCGAACAGAAGTGATCGGTTGGCTTGAAAAAAAACACGTTGAACCTAGAAGGACTCAGCACATTTTGAACCAACAGTGAACGAAATAACGCTATTACAGTAAAATGGAAACCATTCTCTATCTTTGCGTTGATTTGCGGTATGAATTGCCTTGTATTGTAGGCGTGCACGACTAATAATACTGATTAAATCTTGTTTCATATATGTCCGGGTTCAAATGCGCCTACAACTTCTTCATATACACATACCCAATTGGACCAACTCCAAGGAACCTAAAAATGGCTTCTCTGGAACTGGTCATCACTGGCGAATGTGAGGTTAACTATCGTAATATATTGGCCCCTCACGAAGTTGATGCTGTATTGTGCATTAGACTTGAGGATGTGCTTTGAGATACTGTCCTGTGTTCAGGAAGACTCTGAAGGACTCCCTTATTGGCACTGAGAAGCTGTGAAGCCGAGCTATGACCCTTACACCGCAGTTATGAGGCACTATCTAAGCACTATTTTTTTGATGAGCTGTCATGGACGAGTAACTTGACTTTACAGAGCTGTCACTCCTGACGATCCCATCCGGCCTCAGGACGATGCACTGATCTAGCCTTAATAATTTAGCTTGAGTGACCTTAGAATCTTGACGACCTCTTCAGAGTGACGGCAATGGCATGGGCTGAGACGCTATCTGTCCCACTTAGTTCCTTTAATTAGACCCTATGTGGGGGCGAGGGTGTTGCAGCTGTGGACATGCGATTCACTGGATAAGGTAATATTTTTGTCGGGTTTCTGGTGCAGGTGTTGGGGCTGTGGGCATGCGATTTGCCTGAAAAGGTAGTGCTGCGTCGGGTTACTAGTGCAGGTGTTGGGGCTGTGGACATGCGATTTGCCTGATAAGGTAGTGCTGCGTCGGGTTACTAGTGCTTGTGTTGCAGCTGTGGTCATGCGTTTCACTGGATAAGGTAATATTTTTGTCGGGTTTCTGATGCAGGTTTTGGGGCTGAAGACATGCGATTTGCTAGATAAGGTAGTGCAGAGTCGGGTTACTGGTGCAGGTGTTGGGGCTGTGGACATGCGATTTGTCTGATAAAGTAGTGCCGAGTCGAGTTATTGGTGCTGGTGCTCGGGCAGTGGACGTGCGATTCGCTAGATAAGGTAATGCTGAGTCGGGTTACTGGTGCAGGTATTGGGGCTAATGACATGCGATTTGTTAGATAAGGTAATGCTGAGTCGGGTTACTGGTGCTGGTGTTGGGACTAATGACATGCAATTCGCTACATAAGGTAGTGCAGAGTCGGGTTTCTAGTGCGGGTGTCGAGGCTGTGGACATGCAATTTGCTGGATAAGGTAGTGCTGAGCCGGGTTACTGGTGCAGATCTTGGGGCAGTAGACGTGCGATCTGCTCGATGATGTAGTGCTGAGTCTGGTGATTATTGCGGGATTTGGGGCTGTAGTGGACACACGATTCGCTGGATGATGAGTAGATAAGTCGGGTTATTAGAGTAAGTGCTGGGTTGTAGTCCCCGAAACAGGTAGGTAACCGGTGATTGAGACTTGCACTGCCTCATCTCGTTTGCACTTAACAGTAAAAACGAGTTCTCGATTCGCGTTGCGTTGAAAAAAAGATACTTTTACACTGTAGCTGAAAACTCGTGTGTTATTTTATGAAACAAGTACTGTTTTATTTATGGTCCTAATGTTTAAAAAAGAAGTTTATGGTCGGGTTTCCATGAGGAGTATCTGTGGTAGTGGGTGTAGTAATCGCCCACAACCTATTATAGTTCCTTGTATAATACGAAAGAATCCAATTATTCTCTTGAAGCATGCAAAAAAAAATGGCCGATAGTTCCTATTGCTACATAGAAACTTTTTTCTGGTACGATGAGTTCTCAATTTATACAATTATGCTTTTCAAACAATAGTTCTGAAAAATTTTACACTTAAATATCATTTACAACTTTTTTTGAAATGAATTTCTTCGTATTGGGAGCAGCGGACGCAAGGACAGAGCTCGCTGTAAAGCCTCTAAGTCCCTATAGCCGACACTACCTTGGCATCATCGCATCCCCGTGGGGGAGAGGCAAGGGAAGAACGGTGACCCCAGGGGGATTTGTGGGGCTGTTAAGCAGACGATGTCCTTGTAATCTTTGTTAGGTGGATGGTCATGGAGAATCCGGGCCGATGACGGCCCATTAAAGACCTGTTAGGTCGCTGCTAATGGGGCCTTACGACAAGGTGGCGTCAGCGTCGGGGCGGCCAGGCTCGCATTACTTGCTTTAATTTTGCTGACGCGGCGATTGTTGCAGGCAACCTGATTATTGGCCATTATTCGGGGGAGGGCAGGGAGGGGCATGTGGGGGACATGGGGGGAGATATGTGGGTTGGGACAGGGATGGAGGGTCATGTGGGGTGAGGATATGTGAGGGATGTGGTTATGTGTAGAGGGGGAGTTGCATCCGGTATCACATTTTCAAGTTAGAAAACACTGACGTTAAACCTAAATTTAAGTATATAAACATTTCCAATAAACCTGAATTTTATTCCATCATATTCTCAAGCTTGGGAACATCTCCCTCCCCCCTTCTGCCGCTGTGTCTCGCTTCTCTGTCTGCGTCGTTGACACCAAACAAACTTCTGAGTTTTGCCGCACGCTCCAACGAAAGTTGGCAACTGCATGAGACTCGAGTTCAAAAGAGCAACACAGCTCGGCTCTGCCGCCAATATTTCTGCAAAGTAAAAGAGTCTTGTGAGTGCAAGAGCCGCTCGACAAACTTTTGCTGCCATCGCTGCCCAAGTTGTGCGTTTGAAGTCGCCTTGCGATGGTGTAACACGCGGTGCCTCCTCTCCCCCTTGACCTCTTGGCGTGTTCCCTTTTGACCTCGTGTTGTGAGGGAATCATGAGTTGTTTTGAGGTTACCTTAACTCAAAAGAGGGTAGAAAGAACGGACGAAAATCGCTCGAACGGAAATTTCAGGATGATTTTGTGGTGATCTTTAGTAGATTGAAAGAATGGTGATTCTAAACAACGGACGAAAATCACTCAAACGGAAATTTAAGGATGATTTTGTGGTGATCTATGGCAGATTGAAAGAATGGTGATTCTAAACAACGGACAAAAATCGCTCAAACGGAAATTTAAGGATGATTTTGTGGTGATCTTTGGCAGATTGAAAGAATGGTGATTCTAAACAACGGACGAAAAGCGCTCAAGCGGAAATTTAAGAATGATTTTATGGTGATCTTTGGAAGAACGAAAGAATTGTGATTCTATAAGGAATGTGTTATTTTGCGGCGATAAATGAAAGTTATGTGGCTTTAGATTTATACTTAATACAGAAATTCAACTAACAATTACAATTTACATCATTAATAGAATAACCGAATATTTACGGCCTGAACAGAGTTTCGCTCCCCAGCTTCAGTATCCTATAGACTCGCGTACCACGCTCTCCTGCAAGGCTCGTTCTTCACATTTTTATCCCGTGGCCATTTTTTATTCCAAGTCTCCGACATTTTCGGGAGCGGCTTTTGAAGGCAAGGAAGGCAATTTTATTGCCTCGTCTCAGGCAAAACAAAGAATGTTTTCTGACGCACCCCGACGGCCGCTACGCCGACACGCACAAAAAAATAACAAATTTTTCTCAACGAAAAATCGAGGCAAAAAATTCTCGTCTGTCTCCGTAAGTTATTAATTCCAGACAAGCGAGGCAAGCGAGGGAGGGGAAATGTAAGTGATGGGGCGAGGGATTCTTATCAGAGGGAACGATCGAGTCAGCAGGTTTCCATTAAATTTAATTTCTGATATCAAGTAGAATTAAAATTCTGATTTGATATATGAATAATTAAAAACTAGAACTAATCCTCCTTATTGCTAAATGAATTATTGTGAGATTTTTTTTATTGCTCGAAGATCATTTAAGCGATTTAGGATGTTATAGAGTAGTTATGCGAACGCATATTGAAAATTTAGTTCGTAATGTAATAAATTAGTCTACCTTTTGGTTTTGTTACAAGAATTAAACAAAATGGCAGTTTGCGCCATGGCATAGCGTTAAATATGTTTCATGGCATACTTTTGCCCTGGACTCACGCAATGTTAATGAGATGCTGGTGATCTGGCGCTCTGAGATAAGATAATAACAGATTATTTATTATTATTAGCATTATTAATGATAGTTATGATATAAACTGTTGAACATAATTATATTATAGGTAAAATACTTGCAGTCTTAACAGTGAACATATGAAAGTATCTGGAATGATGGTCGTGTTTGCTGCAGTCTAATAAAATTACTGAACAAGAAAACAGCCAAGATTATTAGCCGTATTTTTCAATTCGTAAAATTATTAATATGATATTTAAGTGATCAAATTACGTTGACATAATTACTGAATATTAACAATTTTCGCTCATCACTTGTACAGCAAATGAATCGATTGCAATTTCTACCATAGACTAAGCTTCACTGCTTTATACTGGAAGGCTACGTCGTCGATTTGTAAGAAATGAATGAAATTAAGTGCGTTTTCACTAGATAAACCCTAAATAAATGCGATGATGTAGAAATACTAGATAAACCCTAAATAAATGCGATGATGTATTTTGCCGTGCAAATGCGGATGTAAATGAAATGTTGAAACCTCTTACCGTAGATTTTTCAGAAATGATTGAAATGTTTTAAATTTTTACCGTAGATTTGAAGGAGGAATTATAAATGTTCTGAGTTTTCAGCATAGATTTGAAGAAAGAATTCCAAATGTTTTGAGATTTCACCGTATATTAAAAGGAAGAAAATCTGAATGTTTTAAGTTCATGGAGGTAATATATACATCAATACATAAAATATAATTAGCAGGAACTCAGTATAAATTTCATGAAGTTATCACCTCGTTAACACTCAGTTGGTAGATTTTAACGACTCCACAACATATTAGCTAACCTTCGTTTACTAAAACATGATTAAAAAGTCTTAGTCCAAACCTCCTCAAATGACTCTTCAAAAACTCAAACTCTTTTTATCTTACTTTCTTCGTAAACTTGGAAGGCTTAACGCATAAGGGCAATTTTACATATAATTACAACGCGCAATAATCACCACAGACGTTAGGTGAACAAGTTCAATTTTCCTGTATTTTGTACATTCCTGTTCATAGCCACTGTAGATCGTTGTAACGTTTTCCTCAACAATTTATTCTTGAAACTATATTATCTCCGTTATTTCTCAATAAATTCCGTATTGTTAAATAAACATGCCTTTATAGTGTATATTATTCAAGTGTAGAATAATAAATGAATAATAAATGTGTAGAATAATAAATATTATTATTCTACACATATTTTTCACCCTACACACAAGGGGTGTATGGGGCGCATGGGGCAGGTGTATGAGGCCACACAAACACGACCGTATTACACAGCGGCCTAAGGCCTATAATGGCTTGCGCGGCAGAGTGGCAATATTTTATAGCTGCAGCAAATACGCAATATTGCTGCTGTCTCAGTCGATATTTACTGCCTGCCTCTAATATTTACGACCATTAATAATAACTGCCGGGCACAGTCGCTCCTCTGGTCCCTCAAACTTCAACTCGAGTTTAGTTTTCTTTTTTAAAAATGAAATAACGTGTGTGCATGTGATCTGCTAACGCTTCAGATAGCTTATTTAAAATTGTGATAACAGGCGAGGATAATTAAGGAATACGAACTGATAATAGATTAGCAAAAGCGAACATAATAATTGAAGTAATAACACTGAAGCAGGAGTGAATGAAGTTAAATGTCATCGAAGAATAAACGAAGAACAATCCTGCTAACTGAGCACATGACACATGCTTCACACTTCATACAAATTGCATACACTGCAATACAGTTACTGTTACAATTACTGTCACAGTTACTGTTACATTTACTGTTACAATTACTGTTACAGTTACTGTTACATTTACTGTTACAATTACTGTTACAGTTACTGTTACAATTACTGTTACAGTTACTGTTACAATTACTGTTACAGTTACTGTTACATTTACTGTTACAGTTACTGTTACAGTTACTGTTACAGTTACTGTTACAGAGACTGTTACAGTTACAGTTACTGTTACTGTTACTGTTGCAGTCCTGCTAACTCAGCACAGGACACGAGGCTCACATTATACACATTGTTAACACTGAGTTACAGTTTTATAATTGCGGAAAGTTTATACGTGAATTGGGCATTGTATTCATTTGTCAGGACAACTGTATGCATATATGCAAGCTTAATTTAGATTTGCGTACAAATGTCAACACTATAAACCCTTTATATATTAATAAAAATATAAAATCTATATTATAAAATATACAAAATATAATTGCAAAATATATGTAACATATAAAATATCAAATATGAAGTATAAAATATAAATACGAATCAAATATAAAATGTGTACACATAAAATTTGAAATGAAATATTAACCGTAAACTTTTCTTTCCCCCAGCAGGAGTCAAGCTCGAGGGTTCCCCCAAATGGTCGTCCGCAGCCCCCAGCCAGCCCGGCGGGGGTGGGGGATGCACTGGGGGGTTAGAGGGTTGCAGTTCCCCCTTGACTGCCCTCGAACCCCGACCCTCATCCCCAGCCCTCTCCCTCACCACCCTGACCGCCCACCACACCTCAGGCTCCCTCACCACAAACCTCAACCCTTCACCATCATCAACATCATCATCGAGCATCAACGGTTCGATGATGCCTCACCACCTGCACCACCACAACAACCATCACCAGCACCACCACCATCACCACCACCATGGTAGCAACGCCCCGCCCTCCTTCTCACTACTCAACCACAGCGTTAACAACTACATGCTACCTGACCCTGGCAAAAATAACCTGATATCGCAGCTATTTTAACCCCAACCAACCCCAACCTCGTGAAATAAACCCAACCATCGTAGTTAAGTAGCTAATTACGAACGGTTATTTGCCGGCCACCTTTTCGGAGAAAGTCATTAATTATTCAAATAATTTTATATTTAAGGCATGGCCACATAAAGCCATCAAGGAATTTTGCCGAAAATTAAGCAGCAATTTCAACCATCCCAATTTAATTCTATCACCACCCATCACAATTTTCAATTCCCTCATTGCTAATGCCAATCATCAACGAGTTGAAATGTACGATATCTGCGGCTTTCTTTTCGGCTGGGTAATTTTTACAGATAAATTCTTGATTCCAGCTGACCGAAGTCAACTTTCCTGTTTGTACTCTTTATACAATTGTTTCCACTGTACCTACATATACACAAATTGTGCACACTTTGTGTACAATTTGCCGTGAAATGTTATTTACACAAACAGTAAATTGTGGCACATGACTCATATGTAATATACTCGTACATAAATCAAATTAGATCATAGATATAGTACCAAAAGTTTCCGTCATCCATGAAAAGTTGTAGAGAATAATTCTCCGGATACTGCGCTATCGTCCCGTGTACATAAAGATTATAATATAATTAAATAAAAAATTGTAAATAAGGATGATAAGTGAGTGATGCTCACTCAGCGTAAGTGATGATTAATTTTAATAATCAACACATGTCAAATTTATAATGAATTGTCTTGCTTAAATTATGTTTTCAGATTGAAGGTCACCGAGAAACTATCGGATGTCGTTCAATGGCCAATGTTGGATCTCAATTTCTTTGATGTCAGAAGTGCGTTATCTATCGGTATTTGAATTATGTTATCTATCAGCTGTATTATCTATAATAAATTCTCACAATCCTAGTATAGTGAACATTTTGCATTAATAGTGTTATGCTTTTATTACACTAAGATTAATTAATTACAATGTATTCGGAATCCGAATACATAGAAATTATTTCGAATTGTCAGATAAACACTTCTTTAATTTATCTGTTCAGTTCATGTGGTAGCTTGTGTAACCTATTAAAGAGCAACTAGTTCTGTGTAAATAGTTACATGACTCGAGTAGAGTTGGTGCTAGTGACCTAGTGGTATATTGATGTTGAGCCGCCACTAGCGTTACTAGTGCTAGTAATGCCAACGTTGCTGTATACGTGTGTACATAAAACGATGTTGTATCATGGATACCCAGCGTCGATTTGATTACTAGATGCACACGGGCCAAAATTTCAGTTATGTTAAACGTACCTAAACTAGAGGGACAATATGATCAATTCTTTGTCAATGCAAATACTGTTCAATTGTTGGCATTGAGGTCTTGCTGTGACTTGGATCCTCGGTCTGGGCTTCAAAAAAAGTCTCTTTGACAGAATACACGGCAGAGCAAAGCTTACCATAGCTTGCGTTTAAGGCAAAAATATACTATTATGTTTAGCAGCCTCATACCTCAATGCACTACTGCTGATTATTTGTTCTCTTCTAAAAAAAATGCTGGCATCTGGAAATTTAGTACATTTCGAGTATTTCCGGAACCAATGATAAGCACAAAAAATATTCCTTCTTCCGCGATAACGGGATTAACTGAATTGACGGCCTCCATACAAACGATCCAAAATTAATCTATTTTGTTCACTGTCATTACTGAAGAGCTAGAAATAATTCAGTTACCGGTAAGTAACCAACCGCTTGCGTCTCCTCACAATCGTCCTTAATTTTCAAACTTCTGTTCATAAATCGAATAATAATATATTCTCAAACATCGTAATATTTTTATTTCGAATCCAAATTTTTACTGTACAATCAAAAATTGTATCGCTAGGCATATTTAATATGCCATGGCGTCTTTCCTTACTTTTTTGTAATTTCTTTACTTCCAGAGCATTTCTCCAGTACACGAAACAAATTTACAGTACACGAAAATTTCTCCAGTACACGAAACAAATTTCCAGTTCACGAAAATTTTTCCAGTACACGAAACAAATTTGCGTGACAATAATTGTAAGACAGTCGTACTCTCAGAAAAATGAATGTGTGAAAAAAATCTCGCTCGTTACTCTGAGTGTACTAACCCAGTTGTGTGCCAAACCTTATCTCGACGTCAGTGCCATCACAAGCATGTATATATTAGTATATTGTACTCATTGTCTCAGGGCAGGATAGAAGCATGGAGACAAACTTCCTGTCATTGGCCTCGCAGATATCGAATTATTAACCATCTAGTCAAGCTGTAGTCACGTTAATTTTATCCTATGTTAATGCTAAGTATTTCAGATGCAAGCTATAAGTATGAAGTGTACAGTCGTAATCTAGTGTCGGTGTCAAGGTAGTTAGCAGAAGCACTCATTTCATCTTTAGAAACAAACTCAGTTTTTCTCTAAACGGTGCCAGTAAACAAAAATAAATAAGATATATTGAAAGGAGTTCTTTTGTCCTTTATCGCATATCGAAATGGAAATTGTATTTTTTTGTGATTAGTTATTTTGTGACTCCCAGACTAGGACAAAACATTTGCCCTGAATATGTGTTTTATTTAAAACAAATTCGAAATACCGTCAAAGTTTCATTTGAAATAAATACTCGTGAAAACGAAGGAGCTGCAGATTGACAAAGGCTCTAAATTGACAGCAGGACGAGAAACTGGCAGTCGCGGTTGTTCCTAATCAGAGTAATTGACCAACCGCATAACTTCTCAACACATCGCTCCTATTGCCCTCGATATGCAGGGCCAGGTAGCCGAATAATTTAATGATGGAAATGACGCCGAAAGAACGTTTTTTTATTGATATTGTAGAACTAACGTTTATTTAACGTTATTTCCACGTCAGATGCTTGCTGAAAACGTATCTGTAAGAGTGGGCTATACATAAGTTGATGACGAGATTGTAAGGTCAGTAACCGGCCGCAGGATTCTGCTGAGACAACTCGCACATCAGGATTTTGCCACAGGACGGAAAAAGATAACTCACATATCACAGATCTCGCGGCAGCTTGGTGACGAGACTGGCAGATCAAGATCTCACCACAAGATGGTGATAAACAGCTACCAGATTAGGATCTAAGAACGGGAATCTGGCGATGCAACTCACAAATCCGGATTTCAACGAAGGATGGTGACGAGACAACACGCAGATCAGACTCGTAGTCTCGGTCTCGTGCTAGGCTTCGAGTCTCGCTCTGCAATTCAGGTCTCGCTCGTCCCTGCAGCTGCTGCACGGCGGTCCTAATGACACCGCCGCGCAATCAAGACAAAGCGCCTAAGTTGGCGGTGCAGTCGTGCGTGTTAATCGTGAGGTGCAGTCCTGTGATGCAGTTGCGCAGTGCAGTCTACATCCCAGTTGTGCGATGGAGTCGTGTGGTGCAGATGCAGTTGCGCAGTGCACTCTACAGCCCAGTTGTGCGATGAAGTCGTGTGGTGCAGATGCAGTTGCGCAGTGCAGTCTGCATCCCAGTTGTGCGATGAAGTCGTGTGGTGCAGATGCAGTTGCGCAGTGCAATCTACATCCCAGTTGTGCGATGAAGTCGTGTGTTGCAGATGCAGCTGCGCAGTGCACTCTACATCCCAGTTGTGCGAAAAGTCGCGTGGTGCAATCCTTCGTGATGGTCGAGAGTTGCAGACGATCGATGCAGCCAAGCGGTGTATGTTTTCGGTACAGTCCTTCCATGCAGTTATGCATTGCAGACATGTGGTGCAATCTTCAGGTGCAGTTTTTCAGTGCAGTCAAGCCTTAGTCGTTCGAATCAGTTTTCGGTGTAGACGTTCAGTGAAATTGTACAGTTCAATTACGAGGTACCATCTTTTGTGGCGGTCGAGCGTTGCAATTGTTCGTTGCAGTCGTTTAGTGCAGTTGTACGGTGCAGTCGTATGGTTCATCAAATGCAGCATTCGAGAGGCTTTCAACTTTGCTAACAAGACACACGTGCTGAGACCTGGAAACTGTTGCATCGCAAAGGAGACATTACAGACTGGAAATGGTTTTGGATTAGGATGATGCTTGACTTTCCCGTATCCCATCATCGTCTTCGTTCCTTCCCGGGGTCCCCGTCATCGTTTTAGTCCATTCTCGTTTGACAAAGAGGGACGACTGGCCCGTAATACCACGTCATCAGAAGGAACGTTCTGAACTGACCTCGCGACGTTCATCACTTGCCTGGATGCGAGCTGATATGGAGTGATGCACAGCACACCGTGCACTGTCTTTCTTCTCTGACCAGTGTCCCTCTTTTGCCTCCCTTCTTCACCCAACGCTGTCCATCGCCGTCCACACGGCCCTCTCTCTTCTCTTCACTGCCCATGCGGACCTCTTTCTACCCCTCACCGTCCAAGTGTCCCTCTTTCTGCCCCTCACCGCCGACAAGGCCCTCTTTCAGCCCCTCTTTGCCCACGCGGCCCTATGTCTGCCCCTCGCCGGCTGTCTCGCGGTCAGGACGAGTAATTCATCACGAGCTGACAGTCCTGCCAACCCTTCCGATCAGGAGATCGCTGTGCCACAGCAGACCACAGAGTGATTGAGCCTCAACAGACCAGGAGATCACTGTCCGAAGCAGACCACACAATAATCAAGTCACAACAGACTATGAGGCTGCCGCACCATAACGGACTTGTGTGCGGTCGTGTTTTGGTAGACCAGAATATGCTCGCACCACAACAGACTAAGTCTTTAACAAATGGTCTCAGAAGATCACTGCGAAAATCAACCAAAATCATCACCCAACGTACCTATTGTCTCAACATGAAACGCTCAATCCCTAATGGTGCGTGGTTGAATAATCATTGTTTGAAACATTTACAGGTTTATTTTATTTTAAACAAACTTTCAAATTTATTTAAAATCAAACATCTTTGTTTTTGGTGACTCCCGAGCAGCCAGCAGCCAGTAGCCAGAGCAACTAACAGTCGCCTGATTGCCTGAGAATTAAGACTGCTTAGATACGTGAATAGTAAGGACTGACTCCTACCTTAATTTTTGTTAAATTTAAGCCCTGAAAATATGTTATCTAATTTTTTTCTAGTGCACTTTTCCGATTTTGATTCTAACAAATGGTTTAATTACGGTAACTACCCATACCTGAAATTTTATGTATTAGTAGCACTGATTGAGAATGATTGATACACACACAGAGGTCACAGTTTGGGAAACACTATGTAATGGTTTCGTGTATAAGCTAACTTGCTTGTCCAGTACCTACTACCTACTATTGGTGGCCAGTTGTGTCCGTTGGTACTGGCTGCAACAACTGCCTCAGTGTAAACGCACATTAACTGGTATTAATCAGGAAGAAATACAAATCTTCTTTTAACCATCTATTCTCAATATTGCACCGAAAATATGATTAATTAAATTTAAGATTTGTTAGATTGTGTCAAAGACTAAGTTGTAAACAAAGTAAGTTACCATAGAACTGATACTCAATGCGAATTTAATTATTCTGTTGAACACGCAAAAAACTAATGGCCACAAATCGGACTCTAAACTCAATATGTTGAGCGCGACTAACTGCTAATCCCTAAATAAGCATGTATTCTTTCGCACGAAGCTATTTATTAGCTCGAAATTTATTGGCGGCTGGTACTGGCTAGTCCCATGTAACAGGACCTAATATAAAAATTATATAGGTTGCTGGCATGCGAGTTCAGGAAATAAGAGTGATCGAGACCAAAATATATCATCTAAGAAGTCTTTCCGGAACCAGCAGGCCATGGGCCTATTTCACAACAGGTCATGGGTCTATTTCTTCAGTGCCGACACTTCTATTCTATTCATTATCCGACACGTTGGCGGCCGCAGCGGAGAAAATGTTGAATAAAATTATTGAGTCAGAATATACGTTTTGTGGCTGGTAAAAGTAGTGGAGACCATTTATAACCGCAAGTATTAGTTCTAATACCCTAATATGAGCTACAGTCGTTAAGCTCAAGATTTCAAAAAAAAAAAATAATAATGCTTTGCTGTAAAAGTTTCTCTAAACTAATTCAAATATGGAATGAAAAGTAAATGAAAATTTATTTTGCATTTTTTCATCACACAATCAAACTATTTATTTTATAAATAGGTACTGATTTATTTGTAATAATTTTACCTTACAGTACCGTGAATTTATCTGAATTCGTCGGAGTGCGGAAGCGAGGTACACATAACATATTTTCCAGGATTCAGACGAGCACCTGAACCGACGTCGATGTCGTTGTCGTGGACTCGTGGACTCGTGGTCGTGTGTGAGTGTGACTGTGCGTGCGTAGTGCGTACAGTGTATGGCGGGCGCGGGTTTCGTTAAATGTGATTTGTTTTTAATTTTCTTTTCTGAAAATTGCTCTTCTACAAGTAAATTTTGATATCACACTATAAAATGTCAATACGGCAAACTTGTTCCTCGGGCTGCGGAAATCGTGCTGTTTTGAAGGTAAGTACGTAAGCTCATATTAAAAAAACAATCCAAACAGAATATTTAGGCAGAAGCCACCCATGGCCAAACTCGAAGCGTTGAAGGCCTTGCCATTGACAGACGATGATTCATGAATGAGATGAAAATGCTAGTGCCTTTGGTTTCACCGGACCATATGACCCTTGCTTAATTTCTTTTATGAAAATTACCAAAACCTGCTCTGGCTGCTCATTCCCTGATATCCCCAATTTCTGAAAATCACTTGTCATACAAGATTTAATTAACAAGTAATGATTTTTCTAATAATGGGGCCATGGTAAATGATCATGTTTATTAATTATTCGGGTAAACAAGGTATATTTGGTCCAAAATAATTCTGACACTTTAAGGACGTACTAGCAAAAAATGAATGGCTATAAAAAATACACCGTACACGCAACTCGAGTTCTGTTTGCTTTACATTGCTCTCAAAACAGCGCACTATGACTATGCCCCAGCAACCAGCAAGGCAGCAACAATGAAACGTCACAAAATGTTGCCATATTTATTTTAAAGTCTTTAGAATGCAAACCTACCAAATCCATATATTCCAACACTCTCGGACACTGTGTGTGACTAAATTTGGCATTTTGTAAGACTAATTCTGGCCGTGCTTCAAACTCTAGGTACTAATTCGTAATGCCAACACTCTTGTGTTTAAATTCTGATCGCTGTATGAGCTGTATTGAAATACGACACAGCTTGGAATTACCACTGTGCAGAGAGTGGATGAATATTGCAAGATCTTTGGCGACGCTTCAGTAGCCAAATTTTCGCCTTCAGAAGATCTTGCCGACACATTTAGATTGAAATTCTTGCATTTAATATATTTCTCAGTCTTTGGCCAACTATTTAGAAAAAAGTAAGGTTTCCGGTGCGTTGGATGGAATACGATGCAGCGAAGCAGCCGAAGCTTGTCCGGAAATCAGTTGCGATGAGTTCCCGCAAAAAATGTAAACAACGTTTTTTTTGATTGCGTAGTTTCGGTCACATTAGAGCGGTCAGACTGCTTTATTACATGTTCAGTTGACACTTACTGTACAATCGGACTGTTTTTAGGGTAAAATTAGTTATTTGGGGTAACACGTGCATGCAACCTTGTAACTAAGTTCGTGGCTTGTAAATAGTTTGTCATTACTCAGCATAAATGGCTTTTTATTAAAAATTACCCGGCGACGCATCTTAAAAATGGCCGGCGACGCTTTGGGCTTAAAAATCCATATATTGGCGACGCTGCATCCACCCTCTGCATAGTGGTGGAATTAGAACACTATTGAATATTTAACACTACTTAATTAGGCTTTTAATTAAGAGCTATTAAGCTTTTAATTAAGAAAGTTTTAATTTTTGCACACAGCTTAGAAAAAGCTGTGTGTGTCTAATTCCAAGCTGTGTCGGAATTAGTTTTTATGTGTTTAAAACTGTCTCTTAACTTGATCATCTATTAATTTTTTTACCACTTGAAATCAGCAAATACAAGTATACTTAAAGGATTCCTAATATATTCACAGATGTATTTAAAAGTCTCAAACCATAATATTCTTTCTACACAAACAGTTTATCACTATTAGATAGAGCAAGGTCAACTATCAACTTTGACACATTTTTTGATGTTCTCACTGGGTGATGTGCACTGTCTCTCTTTGGATCTCAACATTTTCCCGCCACACGGCCGGGCGGCCCAGACCTAGTGTTTTGGCAATAGTATGGCATGCAAAAGTATGACGTCACTATTTCAACCATCAACGAATGCATGGAATTAAGAAAAAGCTAAATATAAAGGAAAAAAGTTGAGAAGTGACGGAATTACCCACAATGCCAGAATATACCGTGTTTAGCCTATGGCACAGTGAACAAATTATTACTGTGCAATGTCTATTAGGGATGCAGTGCAGATTTTTCCAAAATAACCAATAAAAATTCGTCATTTATGAATAATTTCTAAAAATTAGGGATAAAAATGTGCTGTTTTCATTATTTTTATATATGTAAAATATATTAGGTGCAAGGCAAGGAGGATGAAATGGATATAGTTAAGTGCAAGCATGGACATATTTGTGACATTTACTGGTTATTTTCCTACTTCTTACTGAAATAGGGTGGCTCTAATAAGACCTATTTTCCATAGATTTAGAATCTCGCAGACACATTGTACAATTTTTTCAACAATAAAATAGGAGATAATAGATCCAGCAGGAATCTTGTGGCTCCAGAAATGTCAGAAAAGCTCTAGTTACAGACAGGGCTGGAATTGGAAAAGTCCTATTTTTTCTGAAATATTGCGGCTCTAATATCATATAGGTAATATTAGTAGGTATGAAATCTCGTGGCTCTAACCCTTTCACGGGTAAGTTACCATATATGATCACTTGAAATCGCGTCACAAAAAGCCTCACCACGGCTTCCTGTTTGTTTTTGAGGCATCCTTATAATGCCTCAGCCAATCCCTAATTATCTGACCATCGTTCTATCTATAGCATCGCCAGCTGCAAAGTCCACAAATTGAAATATGAGCATTTAAATGAAGGTTTTGACTCGGACAATGGAACTGACGCTCTTTCCGCATTTTCTTCAAAAGGTGGAAGTATCAATATATATATTTATTTATTTTGGCAACTTGATTAAATTTAATTAAATTAAATTTTTATGTTTCTAATTTTTCATTTGCATGAACTGAATTTTAATTATAAAGAAAAATTTTGTGTACTGATCGCATTTATTGAATTCTTCACGTGCGATTTAAACCTTCAATAGGCAAAATTTGCAAAAATTCATAGAAATAAATATATTGTATAATACTTCTTACTTTCTTGAAATGGTTTCTGAAATTTTAATTTCTGGATATTTCAATGCTTGCCCGCTAAAGGGTTAATGTCATAAATTTTTGTTCAATTAAAAATATTGCGGTTTGCACTTTGCAAACATGTCGTTTAATAAAATTTTCAACTGTTGCAATCCACAGTATATATATACTTCCATGCTCCAGCCTCCCACCAAAATAACATGTAGAACGTAATAACAAGTCAACTCGAAACATTTCCTCCAGGAAGATTGCATAGTTGTGGGTACTTCAGAATGGTTATACTGCATTAGCACTTGTACAGTTGCCGCTTAAGTGAAGACAAATGCTAGTGACTGTTTTTTGAATGGGACTTTGCAAATAACATGGGTCTTTGTATGCATGGGAGTGATGGGACTTTGTGAATAACAAGTTTGTGGGTCATAAATGGCTTTTCACGGCTGAGATATAAAATTCACGGCTTGAAGAAATGGAATCACGGCTGGCAAACCTACAAAGCCACGGCTTGAAGAAATGGAATCACGGCTGGCAAACCTACAAAGCCACGGCTTGAAGAAATGGAAACATGGCTAACAAACCCATGAAGCCACAACTCAAAAAAATATGGTCGCGGCTCGCCATGTAGATATATTCCATGCCCCGTTGCAGATGGGATGGCCGGAAAGGACAACGTGGAGCACACCACATTTGAAGCCAGGGGGTACAATTTGACAGCCCTGCATGAGTGCTAATTGTTAAGGGATTAGCTGTTTTTTGAGTGCTGGATCACACTATCACAGTACTGCACTCATCCAGGGTGTCCCGCTCCTTTTAGAGGGACTGTGCTCCTATTTTGGCCACTGTGCTCCTCAATTACATAAGTACATGGCCATTTAGATTATATCATATTCCATACCAGGTTACAGGATAACCATAAACCATAAATTTTTAATGCAAATGGAATCTCATGGACTAATTATGTACCATACTTTAATAAACAACTTTACTGAAGATAATTCATCTAGCTGGAACTTGACAGTTTAGAAAATGGTGATGAAGCTTCAGTCGCACCTCCAATGGTAGATATACATGTGTCACATGTGGCTTTGGCCTGATTTTCTAGAATACAGACAACAATGGTCAATATTTCAGCCTCATACCAGTGAATTTTAGGGCTCCTTTCTTGTGAAAATGCATTGGTATTCCTGCAAAATTGTAAATTTATTGCTTTGGCTTAATAAATCAAAAAGCTATATACATAGGGACATTTAAATTTTTTTCAGTGTTTGCAGTTTAGCATACATTTTGTTATGCCTTTTGCTCAATTTTCTAGTTTGATACTCCTGTATCATGTAGGTATATTTGATCATAAATTTTTTTTTCTCTGCAGCGGCCAAAGACAGGAGATTCTCTGTGCAAAGAGTGCTTCTTTTTTGCCTTTGAGGAAGAAGTTCATCACACCATCACCTCTGCCAAACTTTTCTCATGTGGTGAATATGTTGCCATTGCTGCATCAGGTAATTAATTCAATACTAGTATTCTCCCTATGATGTAGTCTGTTGTTGTTGTTGTTGTAATTGCCCATTCTGGTAGTGGTGACTAGGGAGAGGGGGTTAATAGGTCAGTTTTTCTGGGCACTTAATGCCACTGGTAGTCCTACAACCATCACTGGCTTGCTGACCTGCCAGAACCATTTTATTGCATTACACAACATCCTGGAAAAGCCAGGTGCTCATTTATAAACCAGAGCTGAATGAATGGCTGAGTTGACCATGAGCTGAGCTTCCCGGAAGATTGTGTTGTCAGTGGGACTCAAACCCTGGAGCCATTAAATGGTAACCACTGTGTTAACCCAGGAGAAAAATGGTCACCACTGCACCATTGCAGCCCCTATGATTTAGTCTTGCACTTTTAGCTTTGTATATATAGATGATTTTTGGCACCTGTTTGTTTTTAGCAGTTAAGAATTTTTTTAACATCTATTTGATAGTACCCAATTGAATTGATATTATCATTCCTGCTCTAATAATTTTCCTTGTATATTGTTTTGGATAAATTAAAGCTCTTTGTATTTGTTCCAAGCTGATTCATTGATATATTTTTCAGGTGGCAAGGATAGCACAGTGCTGGCACATCTCATGAAGCTCCTCAATGAACGCTACAAGTATGGCCTGAAGCTTGTCTTGCTTTCTATTGATGAGGGCATCACTGGTCAGTCAGATTATCAAGGCTTTCTTTCCCATTTTTAATTTGTTTGGTTAAAATTTAATTCTTTTTCCTTGGAAAACCTTAGAAACTTTCAAATCTAAGTTTCATTTATTAATTTAAGATCAAAGTGCCAAAAAAAGGTACCGTAATAGTTTGATTATTCAAGAAAGTTATTGTATAATTTGATCAAGGAATAAACTGGTTTACAACTTGCATGGATCATCATATTTTTTAATATATTGCACCCAACAGGAAGAATAATGGGAATATAAGAAAAATCTCTCACAACATGTCTACCAAAGATTTCTTGTCATAAACAAAATGACCAATTTATTTTTAGTGCGCCTGCTTTTCTCTGTACTGCTCTGTGTTGCAAAAGTTAGTTTATCATATGTTCATGAGTAGAGGTTTTCATTTGGCATTTTTTGTGCAAAAACATAGATTATTTAACATTGATTTATTTTACTTGATTTATTTAAGATTAATGCATTGCTTGGAAATGTAATATTAATGAAACATTATTGTCTGTTTGGTAGAAAATTCTCATAAGCCCAGATCAGTCACTGACCAGTTTATATCATGTCACACACATGCACATGTTAGCTTCTGTTGAAGATCGTCTTGTTTCAGGCTACCGAGATGACAGTCTTGAGACGGTGAAGCGAAACGAGCAGCAGTACAACATTCCTCTGAAAATTCTGTCTTATGAGGAACTCTATGGCTGGACTATGGACAAGATTGTTCAAAAGGCTAGTATTGCCCATGTGTTATTGAAATATAATGCTTTTCAGTGCAATTACTTATGTCACTACTGCATATTGAGTAGAATTAACAAGTTCTTGAACATTTTTGTGCAGGAGAAAGCATTGTGTGAATTGAGTCCAATTTTCCTTTCACCTCAAATATTCAAATTTATCTGATCAATGTTCTTGAATAGCGAATGATGATTTTTTTCCTCTGAGTTCAGTGACCAGGATGATTTCCTGTTTCACAATTTACTTTGGTATTATCAATCAGCAATATCAATGATTCCATCAACTGAAGTATCAGGAAGTTAAGGTATCAAAACATTGTCATGCATCACCATAAAACTTTGCGACTGCCGAGTGACACACTGTGTTTATTTAGATGTTGGTTTATCCATTCTAAAGCTGCAATATCTGATAAGATTTCAAAGCCTTAGTTTTGTAATAATGTTTTCTAGACTACACCAGGTTGGCCGACGCAACAACTGCACCTTCTGCGGCGTGTTCAGACGCCAGGCTCTGGATCGGGGAGCGCGGCTGCTGGGGGTGGACAAGCTCGTTACGGGCCACAATGCAGACGACATTGCTGAGACCATCGTCATGAACATCTTGCGTGGCGATGTGGCCAGGCTGCAGAGATGTTGTGCTGTCGAGACTGTGAGAAACATGCAGTAGCATATGTTACTAATTGGTCATATGTGTCCTAAATATTAATTTGGACAGTTTGAGCTGAATTTTTTTTTATTAATTGGTCGCCATGCTTCTGCTTCCCCAGTATCACGATTCAGATTATTCTGGTTCAGCATGTCATCTTATGCATTTAATTCAAACCACATTCAATGCCTGACTTTGATGATTTTCAACTATTCCCACATAAGCTCGGAGTTCAATTATACGATTCCATTATGGCCTTCATTTAATCACACTGCCGCTCACCAACTTGCAGGGCTCTGAAGGTCACTTGCCGCGCTCTAAGCCCTTCAAGTACACGTATGAGAAGGAGATCGTCATGTATGCTTACTTCAAGAAGCTCGACTACTTCTCCACCGAGTGCGTTTATTCCCCCAACGCTTACCGAGGCCATGCCCGCACCTACATCAAAGACCTCGAAAAGATCAGGCCCACCGCCATCTTAGACATCATCCATTCCGGTCAGAATTTTGGCTTCTCTCAAGACTTTTTGTGTGCTTTGTTGTAAACATTATGTTGTTACTTGCCAGCGGTTGAGCTTCAAATTCGGAAAGGGTCTCATCGAGGTCTCCCACTTTTCCAGATGGCAGTGTGGAGGCTGTAGTGGTGGTGAAGATGTATGCTAGGTTTCATTATTCATTTTAGCCTCTACCATTTTCAGTATCATGAGTTAGACCGGTGCAAATCGAGCAATTTGTTTTTCGAAGTATAGGTACTTCAAACAACGTTCAGGTGTGGCAATATAGTGAGCCTCTGTACATGTACACGCTTGGTTAAAATGCTTTTGTAGCAAGCAGATCGGAAAAGATCTAAGCTAAACCATGTAATTTCTATTTAATTATTTAAAAATTGATTGTTGTTTGCTCACAGAAATTGAGTTTAATTTGATGTAATTGATTACGTGAACGAACGTTGTAGTAGCGAGTCATTCGTAGCTTGAACTAATGTTGTGTTGCAGGCGAGTGCCTGACGCTGAAGGAGGACGTCAAGCTGCCGTGCCAGAGCGTGTGCCAGCGCTGCGGCCACGTGTCGTCCCAAGCCGTCTGCAAGGCGTGCGTGCTGCTCGAGGGTCTCAACAAGGGCAGGCCCAGGCTTGGGGTCGGCAAGAGTTCTAAAGTTAAGCGCAATATGGGCTTAAACCCACATGATTTAATTTGCGAAAACGCACAAGATGTCGCATCAAACCCTGCGGAAAAGGTGACTGTCAATAAAGAAGCCAGTGCCTATGCAGTTCAAATAGAAGCAGAAATCAATGCGGGACAGAATATCAATGAAGCCAGCGATAATTCCGACAAAAACTCGCGCTTCAGTGAGGAATTGAAGCTTGATGCCGACATCAATGATTCTTCAGTCTCGGCCAAAGATGAAAAGCCAGAGCTACAGAAATCATCTCGCAAATCGTCTTCAGAAGCGGCAGAGACAAGTGCAACGGATACAACTCATAATGAGGACAAAATAACGGAGGAAACACCGGCTTCTGGTGCTGCCAAGGAAGCAAAATTGTGCGCTAGTCAACTGACAAGTATAGAGGATATAGGCAGCGAAGTTGGAGGTAAACTGTGCTCTAAAGGTGGGGTATGTTCCGGTGATTGTAAGACTAAGGTAAAGAAAGATAGAAAAGTCGTTAGTTTACGTAATAATCCAGACTTGGCACTGAAAACTGTGGGAATCAGTAAAAAGGATTTGGATTTCTGATCTTGGCTGAAGTTAGATATTGTTGTTGCACGTGCTGCTGCTCGGGATGGTACAATATATTGGGTACATAGATGCTGTTTTTCATATTGGAATGTTATGGTTTATTTAGAGAGTATTGAAAAGTTTTACATACATCTTTGTAAAGCGTACCCCAAGTTAAAAAATCCTCGCTAAACATTTTTGATGCGCTTTGGCATATCTCATAGAAACTCAGATTGTTTTTGTATTCCGGTGTACATTCTTGTTATTAATAAAGTTCTATTATAGTATGAAGTTTAATAATCTTTTCAATTACATACGTTAGGGTAAAATTCATGTCATTTGTGCCATCTAGTAGACTTATTTTTGGCCGAAAAAAGTTTAAATTTGTGCACAACTTGTTCAAGAATATTAGCAATTTGTTGTTCTTAGAAGACCTTTTCAACTCTTCTAGCGCTATTTTCGAATATTTGAGGTCTTGCAAAAAGGTTTGCACTTGAATGTGGCTCGATTTTAAGAAACGTCTAATGCAAATTCAGGGATTCTATGCTTCTCAAATATAAAATTGTTTCAACCTAAATGTTTGTCCCGAGCTCCACTAGAGACAGTTTCGAGTTTGGATCGGACAATTGAGGACAAGCTAGCTGATTAACGCTCATGATGTGGCACGAGTTTATTTATTACCAAGATATGAATTTTGTACTCGTGTAAAAAGGTATATACCTGCTAATTTTGTTTTGAATTTCCTATTTTTGTCAAGACATATGCTGGCGGCACGCATAAACGACATATTATTCGCTTGTATTAATTCATTAAATAATTGTGGTATCTCTATTACAACGCAACACCTCGTGTCTGTAGCGAAGTGTATTCACTATCAGCATCTTAATTTTTGGTGGCGATTTTTACTAGAGTAGATATTATCCTGGAAAAATATGAATTTTCAGGTTATTATTGGCTGACACTTTAACTGCCGGAGAGTGGAATGGCATCTAATCCACTTGGGGAATTAACGCTCCCCCAGTTCCGAGTTCACGTTACATTAATTGAACTATTGCTTCTGATGTTGAATGTGGCTTATTGAGGAATTGTCAGTGTTCTCCATTACATTTTCTACTTTATTAAATGGTTTCTTGTTATGACTGTCTTTGTTTGGCATATGCAAGGTTATCAACAACGGCAATGATCTTTTTTATTCTGTATAAGTTCATAATGTTTAGTTTCACCTATTTGCACATGGCGGAGTGGATTATTGATTAATATATTTTGTAACCTATAAATTGAAATTGTGTCTTTCTTATAGCTAAAAAAAGTACCTACTACCAAATCATACATAGATTATGTCAACAAATTTCCAGGCTCAGCATCAGAAAACTCCAATACATACAATTACTACCTAATTATATATACAATTACTACCGCAAATAATGTCAATACGTTTCTGCGCTGTACCATGGATTTTTGTCAGCAGCCAATAGACGAGTTTCTCAGTGTTGATATCAACGCCTGTGTTCAAATTAATAATCTTGTGTCAGGTGACGGTACAGCCGAAGGTCAGGGAAGGCTATAAGGGACATTATGAGATCATATTTTATATCTCTTAATAATTGTTGACTCATTTGCACACTCGTGAATTTAGCTATATGAGTAATTTACAATAAAGAAAAACTGTACCTACTCAAATTGCTATGAAATCGAACTTTTTACAGAATTTTTACTCTTCAAAATTAAAAGTTACAGATAATAACACTTCCAGTATGCAAGCGACGAAGGAAACAAACTCGACTCCAGAAAATGAAACGATGTGCCAAATTGGAGACCGCCAGACATCAAGTCAGGTCCCTCATACTGAAGAGAACCAAGCATCAAGTCAGGCCCCTCATACTGAAGAGAACCAAGCATCAAGTCAGGTCCCTCATACTGAAGAGAACCAAGCATCAAGTCAGGCCCCTCACACTGAAGAGAACCAAGCATCAAGTCAGGCCCCCAACTTGGTTAGGTCAACGTGCGGCGTTTGTTTGGCTGCGCCCGCTCGGTACAGGTGCCCCGCATGTGCTGCTGTGACCTGCAGTTGTGCGTGCGTTGCCGCACACAAACTCAGAACAAACTGCACAGGAGTTCGTGAACCAGTCCTTGCTGTGCAGAAAGAAGACATGGATGACGATATGCTGCAGCAGGATTACAGGTTTGTACTGCATGACGTCAGGGAACATGTAGCGGGTTTACAGGGTTGGAAGCAAACTCTATCTTCGTTGGTTCGCGAAATATCGGTTTTTATTAGAAATCAGTTATGTCTAATTTAAGAAGGAAGTTAGGAACGATGTTATATCAGATTTTTTCGAATATAATATCTTTAAATATTTGGTAATGGTTATTCATCGATTTTGTACCGATTATTTTCAGTTTTCTGATGGGAAAAAAACATTGCTTTTCACACCGTACTTCCACAAAAGAATTTCTGCAAACCAGTACCTACTAAATTTATTTAAGATCATATACTTTGAAAAATCTTATAATAATTTCCTCCCTGCACAAACACTTCATGAGCAGCAAGCACTTTCTTGCCATGTCGGCACTTACAAAATAGCTGCGTTTCTGGAAATTTTCGTCGCCGAATAAATTATAGTTAACTTAGTTGTGCCGTAATTTCAGTTTGTTTAAATGACTTTTTATAGCAGGGAAGCTACCTCAATCATATTTTAGCTGATATGGTGTTCAAGTTGACATATCAACTCCTAATATTTTATGAGATCAGCTTGCTTGAATATTATCTCAGTAACTGCTTGAGTATTTAAATGCTTTGTAACTAATGCACATTCTAATGCCGTGATTTTTGTGCTGTCTATTGATGATTTATTTTCCAACACTTTCTGGCATCGCTGATATCAATAAAAGCTTGAATATTTTTAATTGCATTAAAATATTTTGGCTTACTCAATGTGTTTTCCCAAGATCCAACTAAAAGTAGCTGTTCTTATTACAGGTTTCTGGAGAGTGTGATGTCTAGATTGGAGAGGAGTCTTAGAGACCCAAAAGTACATCATCTTGTGGAAGACATTTACGTGACCAAGAAACGAGACAAGCAGTCAGGAAAAAGACATAATGATGAAGAAAGCCTTGTTCACAAGCACAGGTTTTCTCTGCACAATGTCGATGAGAGGACCAAGAAAAGATTCAAAGCATTCATTCCTAATTATGGCGGGCGAAATAGGTTTCATCAGAACGCTGGAGTAACGCTGCATCGCGGCGATCTTCCTTCAGGCTTGAAGAGGCTGCGCTACGAAGCTCGGTTGCGGGGTACCCAGCTCGCCTTCATGCCCAGAGACATGACCAGACATGCGGTCAACACCACGCACTATCTCTTCAGACATCAGGTTATCAGGTGATCACTGCTACCAGACATGCGGTCAACACCACGCACTATCTCTTCAGACATCAGGTTATCAGTGTTGACTGAATTGCTTGAAAATATTTCCAAATTCTGTTATTTAGTCTTGAAGAGACTTATATACTCAACCATTGAATGTAATCGAGCTGTCATACTAGGTAGCTGATGGTCTTATGCCTGGTACTTGGTCTGGGTTGAGACTGTCGTCATTCATGCGCGTGCCTTGCTCGTTACCGTTAGATTAATCAGTTTAGGTGTTCGTTAGAGTTTTAAGTTTTATTTACTTGGGACTAGTTTTTTTGCCATTTATCTGTGATATTCTTTCCCAATTGTCTTGACTTATCTGAAGTGGGGAATTTCGTGCTTAACTAACGCTACTTTGAATTTTTTTATGTTCTCAGATGGCGAGTGCGAGTTGAGTTCCTGCAAGCCAACGTTTACTCTGAAGACACGTGGGACGAGCGAATCTCCATCGGCAGAATTATCAGCAAGTTCTTGGACATGGCTCCTGAGGATATGCGAGGCTGGCCTATAGATCACACGTCTGAGTCGTCAGCTGGTGTACATTCAACTCAGGATAAGGAGGAGCGAGCTATGCCTTGCGTCTGTGGAACTGATCCTTTGAACTCCCACTGGAGTGAAGAAGTTTCTAATGACGAAAATAGAGTTGGTCTTGATAACAATGACCAATCTTCTTTAGGAGAACATGGTGCTGAGGTTAAAAATGTTACCCGGCAGTTCCGAAGAGCGTGTAAGTCAGGTAAGTTGAATAGTTCGTGTCCAAAATGTACAGTTTCATCGCAAGAGTATTTTTCGCCCTCAGCCAACCATGACCAAATAAGTTTGACTTTAAACACCGAGTGTAACACCGAATCATTAGAAGATCATTCAAGAGACTATCCTCTCGCCATAGACATCACTCGAGTACGTAGAGAAAACAAAGCGAAGTCCCTGACAGTTGAGCAAATGCAGCAAATGTCATACTTCCAGTCACAAGGCGCGTCACAGCTGGCCGTGCTCTTCAAAAATGAGGACTTTTGCCAGGATCAACGCCACTACGTCCATGTCTGCCTCAGCGACTCTCTAAGAGAAAGTTTATCGCAGCTCCGTGTTGTCGAGTACCCCATATTTGTCGTGACTACTAGAGCCCAAGCATATGAGATGGCTTGTGAAGACATCGAGAAAGGTGATGACTATGAAACTGCAGACAGGTGCAACAAAATAAGTAAATCGAAGCCTGATGATACAACAGCTAAAAAGACATTCAGATTTTTCGATGCGGAATGCTCCGATGACTCGGTCGACGAGGGCTGAAGTTATGGATTTTTTTTTTCTCGACTTTGTATCTGTCACCTGACGTGGAGTGACCTACCGTCAAATGGGAAAAATGTAAAACCAATTTAATAAACGTTTAAAACGTTCCTTGCATGTCTTTACGCCATCCTAAATATATGAGCTGATATTTTCATTCGAGTTCTGAATAACTTTGTAAGTTATTCTTCTCACCCTGAGCTGGTTAATTGCATTATTTTGTCTACGGCTCTTTACTTAGCATATTTCTGACTGGTGCTGAGTGTGTTTTTTACTCCAGGTAGCTTCAATTCAATAAAAACGTTGATGGTTAATTTATCCCCATATGAAAGATTTACCAATGCTCGTCCATCATTGGTTCTGTTATACCCCCGAATTCTACTTGATCGCTGCTTTTCCCGAATCGGAATTTCTGGCGAGCAGGTCATGATGCGTTGCGAACAGGTAAATTTTTACAGTGCGTGTTACACTAAAATATCATCTGTTACCGAAACAATGTTTGCTTTTGGTTATGAAATAATTTATCCATATGCCTTGCTTTTGGTTATGAAATAATTTATCCATATGCCTTTTAACGCATTTTAATCTATCGTTGTTCGCTGTTAAGTGTTGCAGAGTGACATGTGTAGAACGAGTTCTCATTAATTTAACGTATTCCGATAATCATCAGGCCTACACTTCAGAGCCGACATCACTATGTTATGTTATGATTATAAGGCTCTCTATCGAGGCCTTGCGAGCTGAACATCATCAGCTTTTATTCATCACTACCTGGAATAGTTATAATTCCCAAATCCATTCGTGCATTTGGTTGGAACAGTACAGCTACCGGTAAGCATCTGCTATATTGATGCAACAGATGGTCTTAATAGTTTAAGTGACTTGTTCAAAAGTTGGTTTCTTCAGTCTTATCTATACAACGAAGTGTTCGATGAGCTAGAAAAGAAAATTTTGGTGTATGATAGTATCTTGAAATTTTTAAATATCAGTGTACAATTTTTGCAAAATTTGAAAGTCCATTCACGAAATACTTGATCAAGCAACATTGGAATTATGATTAAAATACTGACGCAGATGTAACGTAGCTAACTGTATATTCGAAATTCAAAGTAATATATAAGTATTATGGGAATTTTTAAAACTTATCATCCATCTAATTTCTTCATTTCCCGATAAAAAACGTGTTTGAATCTATAAATTTCTGTTATTTCGTACCTGAAGTCTTCTTATTCGTAATAATTCACGCAAAACTGAAAATCATTATTCAAACTATAGTTAGGATCTAAATCATAATCGTATACGTTTAGAAGTGAGAAGTAAAGTGTAAACAAGGGCAGGTCGAAGACTCGAAGTGACTTGGGCTGTTGGGCGGAATAACATCGTCTGTGATTTCCGAATACATTAATAAACCCAGCTATCGCAACCACGGAAATACAGGCGTGTGAGCCTGACGTGTATGCTGTGCATTGTGCAAGGTTAGGGAAACCTTTGTAAGGAGGAAGATTATGGACCACTTGAAGATAAATGACCTCAACAAGGCAGTCAAGGCTCAGGATTGAACTGATTCAAATGGGAAAAACCTCATATCTGCAGCCATGATTATGAGCCATATACTACGATATAGCATTTAGGTATTCTGTATGATGTATCTGTAAGCTTACAGGACTACCTAGGCTTTTGCACCATTTTAATTGGGTCAAGTGAATTCACTATAACAAAAAAAAAAATTATTGGTTAAAGCATAGGACCTGAAACAGAAACTAAACAGAAATATTTTAGTGACAAGTGACAACCATCATATTTTTGGATAAATAAATTATAATAAATTAGGTTAAGTACTCTTATTTCTATGTTGCTTGGTGGCTAACTTGGTGCACAATTCTATTTGTGATATTGAGACATTCCATGCACAATTTTGTGATGACCAATGATGCATTTCCTATTTTTCACTAAGCAAAATTTTTTTTGCTAAGCAATTAGCAAGGTAAATGTAATCAAATTACCTATATTGTTGTTAACCAATTTTTTTGTTAACTGGAGCCTTTGCTAACAAAGGTTCTACTGTAAATGCATTTTTAGGGGTGTCATTTATTGCCCCATTATGCAGAAATAGCTGCCATTTTTTTATTGAGGCACATGAATTCTGTCAATGAAGTTTTAAACCAAACACCTGTCTGCAACTTTTTTAAAGCAAAATTTTTATTACAAATATTATTTTACTACTGTACTACAGAACTTAGCAGAAGTACCTTTTTCAAAATATCACTTTTTAACATTTGTTCAGGGATTTTTTGGAGCTAGTATGTACTTATTGTACTACCTATATAGTTTCTTCACTATATAATCAATTCAATCAATATCAATAATCAATTAGTTTTTCTGCACTATAACATTTTTACGCGTGGTGGAGGACTCTCCCGATTTACCCCGCCTGCCCCAAATTGCCTCGTTTGATGGTATAAATTTCTTTTCAGGCTAAAGTTTATGAATGGTATTCCTTTCACCTTGTTGTATGTTAATGTGAAAGTGAAAAACCATATCCACAATGACAGCCACCACTCTGAATTTAATAGAACAAGTATCATCTAAGAAGAAAAAGCTAAACAAAAGTAAAAACAGAAAAAAGACATGGAGGAAACATATAGACTTGACTGGCATAGAAGCTGCGCTGGAACAGCAGGAAGAAGATGAGAGACTTGGGTGAGTTACTAGGGTTTCTGTTTATATGTAATTCTATAAACAGAAGATGTAATAATTCTATTTATATGTAATTCTGTAAACAAAAAATGTAATAATTCTTTTTATATGTAATTCTGTAAACAGAAAATGTAATAATTCTATTGATTTGTATGATGGATGAGTTACCATTGGCATCCATATTTCAAGTAGGTAGGCATTTGGCTAGAAGCTTGAATGGCTATATATTAATATAAATATATCTGCATAAGGATTTCCACAATGGCTACTATTCCCATGCCACCTTCATTTTCTATTTTACAGTATTTATAATTATTTATGTATATATTCATGAGTTTCCTATTTCTTCAATAGTTGCTTGGGAGAAGTCACATCCAACTTCATGTACCTGGACACTGGAGATGGAGCTGCTGGTAATATGGCTGCCTTGTCATTGAATGGCAAAGCTTATCATTATACTTAAGTTTCTCAATTAATTGCATTAATTGAATGACAGAGCTCATCATTATAGTGAAGTTGCAAAACTAATTGCATTACTTGAATGGCAGAGCTTTCTTTATAGTGAAATTTCAAAATTAATTGCATTACTTGAGTGGCAGAAATTATCATAATACTTGAGTGACAGAGATTATCACAATACACAAGTGGCAGAAATTATCTCAAAACTTGAGTGGTAAAGGTTATCACAATACTTGAGTGGCCAAGCTTATTATGATTCTCAAAGAAGCCAAGCATTGTAGAAATTAGTTAGATCCATATTGCTTTTGTCTAATCAATGCAAAATATTTACTTATTGTACATTAACTTTGTGTGTCATTTCCAATCTCTTGCTATTTACAATATTCGTTCCTAAATGATGATTGAATATCTTCATGCTTTTGTCTTGTGTTTAATAAGTGTGTGGTTGCCCACAGATTCTACCAAAGAAAATCGACCAGAAGATGACCAAACTGCTAAGAAAAAGCTACCAACTCTGCGGCTTGAGTACACGGTTGATCCTAAGACTGGTCTCAAGGCTACAGACCGGCCCAAGTCTGACAAGCTCATTCCTGAACTACAACTTCTGGCTGGCCTACCTGGCAGTAAAGGTCCTTTTAAACAGTAAGTAATTGCAATTATTATTTTGAGAGATATTGTTATTTTTCCAAAGAACAATATTCTCTATGCTTGTTTCCAACTTTACAAAGCAGACTAAGCGGTCTCTGTCACTATTGTTAATCTCCATTGAGTTAATTCTTTCCCTGATTGCTTAGTTCATTCCCTGTTCAGTTATAGTTCATTCTCTGTTCAGTTAGTTCATTTGCTGTTCAGTTAGTTCATTTGCTGTTCAGTTAGTTCATTTCCTGTTCAGTTAGTTCATTCCCCGTTCAGTTAGTTCATTCCCTGGTCAGTTAGTTCATATTCCCTGTTCAGTTAGTTCATTCCCTGTTCAGTTAGTTCATTCCCTGTTCAGTTATTTTCATTCCCTGTTCAGTTCATGCCCTGCTCAGTTAGTTCATTTCCTGTTCAGTTAGTTCATGCCCTGTTCAGTTAGTTCATTCCCCGTTCAGTTAGTTCATTCCCTGGTCAGTTAGTTCATATTCCCTGTTCAGTTAGTTCATTTCCTGTTCAGTTAGTTCATGCCCTGTTCAGTTAGTTTATGCCCTGTTCAGTTTGTTCATGCTCTGTTCAGTTAGTTCATTCCCTGGTCAGTTAGTTCATATTCCCTGTTCAGTTAGTTATTCCCGGATATATTAATTCTTTTAGTGGTTAATTTGTTTTTTTCCTTGTTAACTTAGTTAAATCTCCTGTTAGGCCTCTAATCTGACTAATTGTGTCCTCTAGATTATGGTTTTATTTTGAGTCGATGAATACATTATTTGCCCAGGTCCAGGTTCCGAGAGAAGGACACATTCTTGCACCAGGTGCAGCAGAAGACTCGTCACAGCAAGAACCGGCGGACGGCACATAAAGCTCTTGTCAAGGCTGCTAATAGCTTCTCAACTACCAAATCATCGAGAAAAATCATCAAATCAAAACAGAAACTTTCATTTGACAAAAATTTGTGGTCAGAAGCACCAGGTTGGTTCCCTCTCTTTTTTTTTCTTTCTATGTTTTTGTGAATTAGTTTTAAGTGATTATTTTCACTTTGGAAGTAATAACTTTTATTTTTCACTTGAAAAGATACTAGTGCATATTTATTATAGACTAAGATATTTATTTGGAGCAGCCGATTCACTGATCTACTTGCTTATCTCATATAGGCAATACCATATGATAATAAACTTCTTGAGAGCCACTGGCTGGGTATTGCAGCAGTCAATCATGTATATTACCCAATTTAATCTAATCACCTACTGCATTTCTTATTCATAAATAACACCTAATTTGCCTATTATGTTATAGATGTTATCCATGGCATTTCTCATTCAAAAATAAAACTCAAACCAATAACGTTATAGATATCACCCACTGCATTTCTTATACATAAATAAAACCTAGTTTGCCTATTACGTTACTGATGTCTTCACTGCACGTATCATTTGTCTCTAATAACCGATTTCAAGTGTCATGCCTTGACTCCAGTTTGGCGTTGTATTTATTTTTATATCTTTCTTGGAGGATTTTGTTCATTCGTTGTTCTGTGCTTGTGCAATAATTGTCAACTCTCCCACGCAGCTCCCTCAAGAGAAGACGAGCTGTCCGCTGAGGCCATCACGCACATGAAGCTCAGTCTAGGGCAGCAGCCCATCAATAACAGATCCTCCAAAATTAAATGCAAAAACATCCCTGCTGTGCCTCTGCCTCATCCTGGTGCGTTACTTCACTTAACACGTTGACTACGTATTGGTTCATATGCGTACCACGAATTGTATTTCTCCAGGAGGTAGTGGTACATAATTCAGGTTGCCTAAAATCGGCCAAATCCGAGAACAAAAAAGGCCGATAATTCAATGTATACAAGTTTATTTGTAGGTTCCGCTATAAAAATTCCATTTATTTTCTTTCTGCAGTATTTAAAATTTAATTAGGAAGTACCTGTCTCATAAATTTTAGCCGGCCAACGCGATTGAGAAAAACTAAATCACGGAATTTGTCCTGAAAAAATGACCGTCTGGCAACCCTGCTTAAAAAAAGTACAAAAAATGAAATAATAGTACAAGATGAAGCAATCGTAGTCAACGTGTTAAGTGATATACCCTCGGGATCGTTTTACATTTTAATTATTAAAGCGCTCTTTGTAGTCTTTTTAAGAGCGATTTAAAGGGGTGCAATACCATTTTTAATTTCTTCAGATATATTTGCAATATTTCAGTTATCAACTTATCAGCTATTAAGGCACTATAATTTAATTCTAAGGTATAGTCGTTGAACTTATTGGAACCACTGAGACGAGAATATTGTTAAAATAAATTATTTTCCCTTGGTTTATCATTGAGTTATGATCTTTGAAGTTTCTAAAGTGTTAACGTAACATTGATTCATTTTATCCTCCTAGGTTTGTCCTACAACCCTGATCTTGGAAGTCACCAGAAGTTGTTGGCCAAGGCTGTCAAGTCAGAAATGAGTCGCTCAAAGCAAGCCAAGTATACAAACGACATGCGCACCTGTGACTATCCGAAGGTAAACCATCACTTCAATTGTCATAGGAAATAATTTGCCTAAACTACATGAGAACCTGCAACTAGACACTAGGTAAACCAACCCTTCTATTGTCATTGGAAATGATTTGCCTAAACTACATGAGAACCTGCAACTAGACCCTAGGTAAACCAGCCCTCCTATTGTCATGGGACAGAATTTCAGTGCCTAAACTATATGAGAACCTGCAACTATACCCTAGGTAAACCAGCCCTTCTATTGTCATAGGAAATAATTTAAGTGCTTAAACTACATGAGAACCTGCAACTAGACCCTAGGTAAACCAGCCCTTGTATTGTTATAGGAAATAATTTAAGTGCCTAAACTACATGAGAACCTGCAACTAGACCCTTGGTAAACCAACCCTTCTATTGTTAGAGGAACTGATTTGAGATAGAATTCATGAGCGACGGAGTATAGACACAATTGTGCATCATCCTCGTGTTACGAGATAGAAATACTTGGGATATAACGACAAAATATGTTCTGCTTTTTTGTGTGCAAAACACGGCAACATATTTTTTTTGCTACATATCTCTTCAAACAAAAAATAATTTTCATTTTATCACACCATGTACGTGTGCTTATATTTGACGTTATTATATCCTTTTTACATTACCAGTATTTTGTGCATTTTTGCAGGGTGCTGAGATTGTGGATAACATAGAGACCATCAGAGACATGGAGGGGGTCCACGCCAACACACCTGCCATCAAAGAGGTGATGCTTCAGCATGAGTTGTCCCTGTATTTTTTTTATTATATTTTCTATAAGTTGTGCAAAGTTTTGAGCAGTTTTATTTACGGATAAAGAAGGCTAACTACGTATTTGCTGTTCATGGATTTTGCTAGATGATGATGGGATCTTTTTCATCCATGTCGTCTCTGTGTGTTATATTATAAAAACATGATAAATTTGATCATAAATGCTGCATTTGAGTGCTGAAGTAAGAAAAGCTTCAATGTCATTAATTTAATAAAACGCAATGTGAAATTTATTTGGGTTCATTCATCCATCAACATATTACCCCTTTTTTTACCTCAATATTTCGATTTATTCTTCCATTGGTTCTTTTAATTTGTCTTTTGCCCCCACTTTCCTGCACGCCTCTCTTTCTCATGCCACCTACAATTCTTTCTCTCTTGAACTTTTCCTCCCGTTATTTTTGTCTGCTTTATGTCTATTCCGTTGCCTTTGCTCTCAATCTTTATCCTGCTCAACACTCATTGTGCTTAATCGTATCATTCGTCACGCAAGCCATGAATGATGAAGGAAAATGTAAGCCATAGTTAGCTCATAATTATACTGTTTACATATTATACTTTACATTATACTTTTATACACAGGAACCCATGGAGGACGAGGACGAGGCCTCGGTACCGGCGGAGGCCCGTAAGATGGACAGGCGGACGCACGCTCAGCGGTTGAAGTACCGCCGCCATCACGAGGCCCTCAGGCTCGCCAAGCACCTCAAAGACAAGAAGAAGCGCGAGAACGCCATCCTTAGGTGCGCTCAGGCCCGTGACTTTGCCGAGTCCATCTGCATAGGCTCGAATTAAACTGGTGTAGTTCCTTGACTCTGCTTGATTTAATTTCTGAAAATCAAACTCAATATTTTAGGTCCCTTAATAAGGCTAAATTCCTTACCTGAGACTCGAATTTAATATTTTGTTCAGTGAATTTTTTGTACTATGCTGTTATGGATGATGAAAACGAACCTTACAATTATAAACTTTTATCAATAAGGACAGCTATTGCAGATATCTCATCAACCAACAGTTACATGTTCAATCAAGGAGCTGTTGAGACATGAATTGTAGCTCATCACCTCTAACAGAAAAGAGGAAACCACGAGATTTGAGTTTATGTGGGTTGGATGTGAAGCACGAAGTAGGATAAGTTAAAGCCACTCTGTGCCACCTCTTTTTCACTTTCTCCCAGTGGCATCACGCCACAAATATCACCACAGGATATGTTGATTTATTTTGGCGAGAACTAAGAAGGAAATGTTTATTAATTAAGTGTTAGAAATAAATCACTAATTGTGCAGGGCCGCGGAGATCCAGCGGGAGCTGGACGAGGAGGACGCGAAGAAGCAGCGTGTCGCCGAAAAGAAGGCGCGCGCCCAGCGCAAGAAAGCTTTGAAGCCGCCGAAGACGTAAGATTTTCCGTTCATGGTATAGATTATGTTACATAATCTATACCATAAGGTCATGTCACATGACCTAACCCATGAACCGATATACCATTACTATATCTCCCTATTATAGGGTCCATTACTATATCTCCCCCTAGTGTTATAGTATCTGGTGACCAGCTCTAATGTGACCATTGCATTGGTGACCAGCTATAAAAGAAAGTTCCTAGGACAATCGTAATTTTCAGCAAAGATCCCCAAATTCTAACACTTGCATCACCTAAATGGAGGAGCCACTTGAGGTCCAAGAGAGTAAGATTCAATCATATCCCTAGTATGCTGGGCAAAGTTTGTCCCTAAAAAAATGTTGAATGTTTGGATCATATTCTATTTTTCATGGTACAGTTTCCGTAGTTCATAAAATCAACAAATTGGACATTGTTACAGTTATTGTGGCACAGGTTTCATGCGTCATGTAATTAATATCTTGAATGTTAAAGTTATTATAGTGAGATTCCACACATAAAAATGAATGTATGACAAGTTTTCGACTTTCATTTTATGCGGTAGGTTTTGTATAATGTCTTTTACTGTATTATTTGCGGCTCTTTATGGTTTATTCATGTATTAGTATATACGTATTATTCATGGATAAATAATCATTTCTTGTAAATAGAAATATTGATTATGCTCAAAGATGAAATAAATTTCTTCTGAATAGAGTTGAATTGAAATGAATTTCATAAACGGTATATTGCTCTCTCAAGGTTACAAGCATGGTCCAGTTTGAAATTCACTCTGTAATATTTACTTATCAGTAAGCTTTTTTTCTTGGATATGATTTAAGAAAACTTCGTGAGAGTTTTAATACAGAACGTGTTCAGCTCTCCTTTGCACAGTAGATAGAAATATCCTCGTGCATCTGAAACATAGTCGATAAAATTAGCGTGTAAGTGTACCCACTAGTTATCGGTAAAGTTCGATTGAAGAACAATGGAAAAATAATCAAGGAAATTATTATTAATAAAAAACATAAGTTATCGTGCCTAACTCTCCTACTTGGCGCAGATTCGTGGAGAGCAAGGACGTCGAGGTTGCGCTAAGCTCGGAGCTCCGGGACAACCTGCGGTGCGTGCAACCTACGAGCAACCCTGTGTTGGAGCGCTACACGCATCTCTACAGACGCGGCCTGCTCTACTCCAACGCACGCACGCGGTAAGCAGCACGCCTGTATAACGTAGAATGTGTAATGTTGAGTTACATTGCATCGCTACAGTTACATTTGACATAAAGTTGGAAGGATCACAGTTTACAAAATTTCAGTCAATGGAGTTACGTACTACCGAAACGCTGACCACCAAGCAAGTGTACACACACCTAAATAAACGTTCGAATGGTGTTCATGGAAGGGGCGTTAGGCAACAATGCTTGAGATTTAAGATACTCCGATATGTTCTTTATTCCGTTGCAAGTTGAAAACGGTCAAATAATGGATTGTATTAAAGAAGTGTTGGTGCTTATTATTATTTGAGTTCATCAGACCGATACTCCTCTTACTCTTCCAGATAATTTGCAATGACCACATTACTTTACGTGTTGCACGGTGTACCGCTTATTATTATACGAGTGCATCGCACCGTCACTCTTCTTACTCTTGCGCATAATTTGCTATGATTGAACTATTGACCTGTTGCAGAGTGTACCAGCGTAAAGGCGCCATCAACAGCATGCGCAAGGTTGTCAACAGGCCGGGCTATGAGCGGCTCACGGAGAAGGATTTCGAGGGCCCTCATGACGTCACTGCCAGGCCTCTCAAGAGAGCCCCCAAGAAAAAGCTTTAATTCCTATCTGAAACCTGATTAATAAAGCAATTATTCCGAGTTTGTACCGTTTTATATCCTAAACCTCAAATCTAACGCGAGATTAATTGTTTCAAACCAACTGTGTTTCTCATCATAATTTTAATAATTTTAGTGGCATGTGGAGGACCAAGTTTATTGAAACGACTTTCACTTATGCTGCCTCAGGTTTAGCAGCATTATAAACTTCATGTTTTGGAATTGCCGTTTGTGGAATACTTGCAAAACGTCTGGGTTATAATTTTGGGGACTTCCTTGGCATATTAATTCCTGACGACCCCAACTTGGGCGCTCAGACCATCAGAGAAGCGGCGCTGAGCGAGAACGACTTATGTTGACTTTGCAGGATCTTCAGGTCTCTGGGTGTTAAGTTCACTATTTGATCCTGTTGTGGTAGAACACGCAGGCTGCTTTGCACATTTTCGGGTGTGACCCAGGGACTACGGGAAAGAGGATTCCGCGACCCATGAATTCTATCCTATAAGAATAGAAGATTCACGCTCACTTATCCGTGTGTGCCAGTCCTCTCTGGTTTGTGAGGGACTTTGATTCAGTTTGAGCTAATATTAGGTGTAAGATCTGCCCAGGAAGCGGTGCCTAATGATTGCCCACGGCGGTCAATCTGACGCGAGGCTGCCGTACGCTTTTTGTGCTCCCACGTGAGTTTTTCGCTGATGAGAAAGCCCTAGATAATTTGACCGAGGTACGACTACGATATTTGTGTCGGTGCTGAAGATTAAATCAAGTCTGACCTGCTTCTGAATTTTTAATGTTGATTACTCGTTTTCAAAAAGTCTTAATACGAGGAAATTACGGGTACCAAAGGTGGCAAACAAATCAAGCCAAAACTTATTCATTTTCATAACTTAGTCATGTCTCTTCGGGAGCACAGCCGTTGGCTACAAATTTAATTCGTTAACTAGCCTTTGGGCCCAAGCAAAAAAATTTTTGTTCCGGAGGAAATTCGGGGTAATTTTGGAGGTAGGGCCATGCTTAGGAGGCGAGTCTATGAAGACTGTACTGACGGGAGCAGTGTTTATGGAATAAAGGCGCTACTGCTTTTAGCACTCAATTTCATAGGCGGCTCTAACCAGCATATTAAAAAGGTTCCTACTAAGATACACATTTGTTTCTTGCTGAGAACTCCATTCGATTATAGAATTCAATTAATAGGCATGTACACTCGGCGAAAATTATATTAAATTTTTTCCGAGCGGCCGCGGACTCGACTATTACAGTTTACTTCTCAGCCCAGTAGTTTCCTGATTTCGAAGTAATTATTATTATTATTGTTTCCGTGTTCCGGAAACAAAATTTAGCTCTTGATAACTAACAGATAGCCCCGCCTGCCCTTCTGAGTTGTGAGTTTGTGACGCGTGCACAGTTTACTCAAGGCGATGCTGAGGAAGAGATGTCGATGTTCCCACTTCGTAAAAATTCGCAGTGAGTATGGCGTGTGACGTGACGTGAATCCTATGATCTACTATCATTTGCGCAGTCCATTTGAAAGCTTAATGCCGGACGAGACATAATTTTAGTAATAGTGGTAACAGTTTTCAATTAGCCAAATGGCCTGTCGCCGTTCCGCACAATAAGCCACTATTCTCGCAGCTCGCCGAGGTTTCGAACACGAAACTTGGTGCTTCAATCAAGCTAATCTCCAACTCCCAACCATCTTGCCGATTTTGACCAGAACTGTCACAGGAATGAAAGGAAGCTGGGACAGTTAGTGAGCTGTGGGTTCGATCCTGGCTACCTGCGACAGTTCTGGCTACAATGAGCAAGATGGCCGAGACACAGCAAAATTGGAAGAGTGAGTTACGTGTTCGAGACCGGTGACGCGCTGTGAAAATTCTGCGATGTTCAGAATAGGCGATCTAATGCCTAACTATCGCTGACACCGCTATTACTATTACAAAATGTGGAACATTAGCTATGCTAATTCTAAATCAGGACAGTTTTCTTCCTGGCTTGGTAAGAATACGAATAAACTTCAAATATTTAAACATGAACCATGGACAAACTTCAAATTTTATTTTCACAGAATCCTCAGTTTTTTCCATATGATAGAAGTGAACTGAACAAAGAGTCCTAACTTGAAATTTAGAAGTAAAACTTAATCGTTTATTTGACAAGAACGTAGCCTTCCTATCTTACCCATCACTAACCTACGTATTGATGGCTATCGCGGGGAAGAATTTTAAATGCTAAACTCGTCTCGCCGTGCCCAACTGTTGTATGTTACTTCAACCATATTTTTATGGATTTTACCATTGTTATTTGACAAGCTGTCCACCCGAATATGACTGTGTGCCGTTTGATGCGCATTGTGATCGTTAAACTGATTCTTTGGTTAGATATTCTTGTGGTTACTGACTTACTGATTAGATCTCGCGTTTTCATCGAGAAAGATGGAACCTGTGTGATCTTTTGGTGACTGATTAGATCTCGCGTTTTCATCGAGAAAGATGGAACCTGAGTGGGGAACCTTCTTCTCAAGGGATGTTGACGTTGGACCATTCTCAATGCCATGCATTAATAACTAAAGTGGTGATGCATTGACAAGCGCTTTGAACACCCAAGTTATTTAATTTACTATCCTCATGATTACTCGCCTTGCATCATGATGACGTCCTACAGCTTTTGGTGACGCAACATTGTTTTGAAGCGAGCATACATAAATATCTCTTCCAGTTACCTCCGCAACTCATTTTCTAGCAACTTTGCTAGCCTATTGTAATTTAGCCGGGTTACCCCATCAGCCCTAAATAATTATTATTGTCTATGTTATTGCCTTAAGCATCATTATTAATTATTGTCGCGGAATAATTTAAACCTGAAATAAAATTGTGTTATCTTATTCGCCTAACACTGACTAGACAGCGATGAAGGACCAGAATAGAGGAGTATCTAATTCTCCATTCATTCTATTGTGCCAGCGTAAGAAAGCTGGTCATATGGAATTGCATCACAGTCATTCAAGTGAAAGGCAAGAAAAGACACTTAAAAATTTTGATGTTCTAAGAACAAATAAACGTGCATGATTAACTGTTTTTTGGCTTTTAGCATAATGAGTGGAATACTACCGGTACTGCATCAGTAATTTAGAATTAGAGAGATTGAAAACTGCTCTTTCTCAATGCAAGGATGAACATTCCGAAGGATGAACATTCCGAAGGATGAACATTCCGAAGGATGAACATTCCGAAACTTAGTTTAATTCTGGTATTCACAAAGAGGGTTTTGACACCAAAAAGAGAACGTTTGAATAAATTCTTGCACCTCGGTTCCAAAAATAGCTTTAGCTTTCTCAAATGCAAGTATCAGCATATTACGGACAATGTCTAGTTTATGGAAAGGCGATGGCATCCACAAGTACCAGCGATTCAAACTAATGTACCTAAGCATATATCTCAGAACACAAGAAATCAGCTACATAATATAGGCAACTAAGCTAGTAATCTCAGTTATTACCAGCCCCTTCTGACTTTAGCAAAAAATCGGCCTCCAGTTATGTAGTGTTTGCACTACCACAACTTGCATGAAATTCTTCCCTGTAGAAACATTCGTTACTCACGTTTGCTTGACGGCTTGGTAAATGCACTAAAACAAACTAAAATGATTCAGTGACGTATTAATGATACCTGCGTGAGAATGGGTTATCATACATCCTAGGAGCAGGAATAAAGGGAGTCATTTCAAGTAAATCTGATCTACGGAAATCCCTACCTCAGCACGACAGCACACCCAATGTTCGAATTCCCTCAATTCAAATTCAAGCATTTCAACTAGGTATTCAGACTTCATCTATCTGACATATGCAAATTGATTGGTAAGCCACTACTCATTATTTACTTTTACTTCACTAAGAGGAACATGTCAGTCCAGCATGTAAAATATGAGGTAAATGAAATAGATGGGCAGCTAATTAATCACAAATCGATCTCCTACCCTGGGACACCAGTCAGCCCTTCTGCTTGAACTGAGTCACACGCAGACCTGCTAATTAAGTGCCAATATAGCGACACACCATCTGTACTGGGACTACTGGCAGTCGCACTGAAGCTTCCGCAAATATGGATGCAGGACCCTGTTGCCTGATGTGCATATGCCGGGACAAATATCAGCCTACACGGCATCGCACGAAGCCTTACCAAGTATAATCACTTAGTGTCTGCTCTTCGGTACGAAGTAATAGCAAAGTGCGCGATATTTTGTGCTCAACCGAAGTTTAAGATGAAACTAGCCATAATCTCTTTTCTAAAGGTAAAGGAAGACCTTGGCGATCATAAGCCATCGCAGCTTCTATGTCATATGCAGAGCCTACTCTAGCAGGGCAGCAAAAATTTCGATACAAAAATTTTCCGTGAGCTTTTATACAGAAGCTTCCGATCCAGCGTGTTTTAGCAACGATGCCAACGGATACGGCACTGGGGACATACCGATAAGCAAGATTGCAGACCGCGTTTAGGACGTAAAAACAACAATGCAGTACAAACATCGTCCCAATCAAATCCCCAAATTCTTTACTTGGAGCAGAAATTATCTGTCCTCGCGGATCATGTTTCGAAGTTACTCATCATAGTAAAAAAACGAGGACAAAGCACGTTCCCCTTCATTAGACCGCCAAAGGCACGAGCAACGCTGCAGCCCCCAGCGAGAAAATCATAGCGACAAACTCCATTCCGCAGCTCCAGGTCAGCACTGCTACTACAACAAGCGTTTCGGAGCGGCAGCACGAAAATGCGTTCCTCTTTGCAACTGTTGTGAAACGAGAGCCGCGAGTGTCACGACGACTACCACTTGCAAACACCGTGTTTCAATACTCCCAGATCGTCACACTAATTTGAAATTTTTAACACAGGTGCCGATGTTAGCATACCCCCAGCGTCTACGCCCGACCGCCTGAAGCCACCAAAGTCATATCTCTATGCAGAGAATGAATCATCCATACCAGCCTTTGGAGAAAAGACTCTCACATTGGATTTTGGCCTACGACGGACGTTTCGGCGGATGTTTTTGATCGCAAATGTGAAACAACCTATAATGGGTGCATACTTTTTGTACCACTACAACCTCGTGGTCGACCTGAAGAAGCGTATTCTGTGGACGGTGCAACCAATTTAAAAAACAGACCACCTTGTAAACAGGTTCATTCAATGAAGGATTTCGGTTATTAACAGTGCAAGTGTCAGTAATTAAGATAGGCTACTATTGCAATTTCCATTTTTACTCAAGCCTTTGGACGCCGATATTCCCCTGAAACGCCCAGTGTGCCACCACATTGAAACTACCGGTGTTCCAGTGCTAGCGAAGCACGCCGGTTATCAACGGACAGCTAGCGAACAGCTGCAACACAATAATTTGACCACACGTGTGAGCTCGGCATAGTGAGACGTTCTACCAGTAGCATGTCGTTCAGCCCTCCCCGTGGTTACCAAGAGCAACGGTGACTGGCGTCCATGTAGCGACTAGAGAGCACTTAACTCTCGAGTTCCTGAACGTTACCCTCTACCATTCATGCAAGACGGTTATTGCATCGTAACCTGCGAATAGCACGATCAGCAAAATTAAACTAGTGCGCGCCTACAATCAGATTCCGATTTGCGAAGCGGTGATCCCGAAAACAGCAATCACAACTCCTGTTGTAATTTTTGAACTTTTTCGTATGCCTTTCCAATTACGCAATGCGGCTCAAACGTTTCAGCGCTTTATAGATGAGGTTCTAAGAGGCCTTCCCTTTGATTATCCGTAGCCTGACGATGTATTGATTGCCAGTAATAAAAGTGAAACTCACTACAAACACCTAAAAGTCGTTTTTTAGCGACTAGAGTTATTCGGCATTAGATTTCCTCGGCAATTTACTTCCATAGATTTCATTCCTACTTTTTTTCCTCACTGGAGAGGAGAAGAGAGAGGTACATCATACTGTACACTTGGAAGATAATAACCGGACTGGCTCCCAACTGAGAGCGAGACTCCAAAATAGTGACATCTGACAACGAAAGGAGGGGGAAACTTTGCAGGATACCTCCATAAAAGTAACCGAGCTGTGGCCAGAGCTCAGACTCTTCGTGAGGGATCACTGTCAGAGGTAAGACCAAAGCTGCTTAACGCTTTTCCAATGGTGATAAGAGGAGTGGTTTACTCTTGTGACTTTCAGGAGATAGCTGGATAAGTTTCAGAAGAAGATCCCGGTTTGTCCAGTTATAGCTACCCTCAGCAACAGCATCTTACATCAGCTGGCCCAAAGGCTGGCCCAAATAGACGGAACACGTCCAACGTTACATCCGCAACCCTTGGGCTGGGCGAGGCGACTTCCCTATCGACGACTTGGAGATGAATGACTACGAAGGCGGAGCATCAGCTTGACCGTGGACTACGAAGTCCTAAACTCTTCATAAAGTCACCGCCACCACTATTACTCCTGTTGCTACCACCGCCACCACTATTACTCCTGTTGCTACCACCGCCACCACTATTACTCCTGTTACTACCACCGCCACCACTATTACTCCTGTTACTACCACCGCCCCCACTATTACTCCTGTTGCTACCACCGCCACCACTATTACTCCTGTTGCTACCACCGCCACCACTATTACACCTGTTGCTACCACCGCCACCACTGTAACTCCTGTTGCTACCACCGCCACCATCATTGCTACGAGGCACGGCAGTGTCAGTGAGGCACCACATTCAGTGTCTCTCAGGAGCTCAGAATGTGAGGTTGTCAGGCTGGACGCTCCTTTGTTGACAGGCCGAAGTGTTACGAAGCGAATTGCGTTTGCGAAACGTTAAACAAATATCCCTACAATATTAAGCGCATCATTAACGCATTTAATCTTATTTTTGAGATTAAATCTAGGGTTGTGTGATTTTAATCTAGTGTTGCATTTTAAATTGTGTATTGCTAAGTTATATTTGGTCATCTAGGATCTAGACTATCCAAAACATAATGGGTACATGAATTAATGTGTTCATAACCTTTTGCTACTGACGGTGAATTCAGTTGCTAGGCTTTTGTGTACGAATGTCACTATTGGTATTGTGGTCATGCACTCTTTGAGAATAGATTAAATTCGCAGTCTGTTGTTTCCTGATGCGCAAGAAAAATTCTAAGATCGGTTAATGGTCCAGAATTCCCATAGATGAATTAGTTGCTTAGAGTAATAATGTCTATTGGGTATAATAGATGTCATTCTAAGGGACGCTTGCTTTATAACACACAAATAGATACAAACCAACGAAATTATTATCCTTTTGCGAGTTGAACTATGAACGTAGACTAAGTCTGATAATGTTTGCGACGTGACTCTTGGGAACTTTAAATTGAATTGTTAGCAGATTCTATGTATTTTTTTTGTACAGTTGGGCTTAACTACAACAACGCACGTTTCCCCTCCTCAACCCCGCCCCCCGTTATGTAAACTTCGATGAGAATGTGTAATCATTGTGCATTCCTGCATGGGCTTAAACTTTTCGTTCCGTGATTTCTCGAAAGTTTTCGATAGCATTCACAGAGGCAAGGACTACAGGTTAGATAATTTTAAACTTCATCAGCCCGGGAACTAGTAACTGAGAAGCATTAGGGTTTTTTTGCTGGGGGTCTGAATTAAGTCAGCTGGACAGTCCCCAAGGCCACAGTCTGACAGTCTACACTGTGACTAATCAAAATTTTAATTTGTCAATGCACCATAGGCGTATAATGAATTCGCCCTATCATTTTTCGGGCCAGTATTGGCAGGACTATTCTATTGGTACGAGAACGGTAGGGAATGTTACTTCAAGCTTGCAAACCAGGCTAATCGAAAATGTTGAGTGCCCTTCAATGACAACTGCGTTCTTCCGTGAACGTGCATTTGCATGATCGTTTAGTAGCTAAAATTGTTTTAGGGTTCGTTAGAATTGCCACGTATTATTACCACTACTATAGTAGGTAGTACCAGAAGTGACAACTGAAAGTAATAACAATTGCAGCGTCTGAACTGTGATAATAATTCGAACATTGTGTTGGTATCAAAATTATCTGCTTGATATTTAAAAATGAACAGACATTTTACTCCCATTTGATAACAAAGACTAAGATGGAGGCAGCTACACTAATCGGTATTATTGCAGATTAACTACATCCAAAAAAAAGGGTGTTTTTTTTTTAATTATATGTTTTTTGGGGTGTAGATGGTATTATTGCAGATTAACTACATCCAAAAAAAAGGGTGTTTTTTTTTTAATTATATGTTTTTTGGGGTGTAGATTACGAATCTGAAATCCATTTTTGGCGGTCGGCATCGGAAAACCGATTTTTTTCCGACCCAAAAATCGCGCTAAAAATGCCTTTTACGTAACCCCCATGTTAGTAAGTCGCGAAAAAAATCGGTTTTCCGATGCCGACCGCCAAAAATGGATTTCAGATTCGTAATCTACACCCCAAAAAACATATAATTAAAAAAAAAACACCCTTTTTTTGGATGTAGTTAATCTGCAATAATACCCACTAATCATTTAAAGAATTCTGGAATTCATTGCCTTAAAAATCTCTTCTACTTCCGAGTGAATCTAACCAAACAAGGGGGAAGCAATGCAGCTTCAGCATGGCGAGAATACTGATCAGGCGACATACATAAACTGTTATTACCAGACTTTTGACTATTACATCTCCTGGCAGTGGGCAGTCGCGACTTTTTTGTCAATCAGCCATTTTATCCACGTAGAAAATTTGTGTTCGGCACGTGCGAACCAAAAAAATAAATTTAACAGCACGTCAATGAGGTAATTTCAACAGTTCTTCAACATATGGTGATAATTGGCTAAAATTATTCCCCTCCAACACCCAGTATCTTTACTCATGTCAAAACTCAACAGGCTGAACGGGAGCAGAATTCATCATCTGTCATTTTTTACAAAGATTTTGCTCGTTATCAAGTGTATCTTACCTATAACTCTGTCATTCGCCTATATTGATTTTTTATTTCCTTATGGTGTACTTGCAGAGTTCTTTTATTAGGGTATCAAATTTTGGGCAGATACATAACAATGTAAAATTGGGAAATTTTCAATAAATCCAATTAGTTTTGTCAAGGTTTGAAAAAAAACATGGCCGTCTCCTTTGCTTCTCAGGAGCCAACAACAAATGCCGCGAATGTCAGGGCGAATGATCCGCTCACAGACGAAATTCGAACAATTCACCAGATTTCTGCATCTGAAAACAATTCACTTCTAGCTGCCTCTGAATGCGATCCAGATTCTGTTCCTGTTCATAATGTATTAATTTCAGTTACACGCAATCCATCTCACTTACGCACAATGAATCAAACTGCGCCTAATAATCATCACTGGACATGTCCGAGGGCCGCGAATTCTCATGATGACGCCACTGAACCAAGCTCGCAATTACCGGAGACTAACAATCATGAGGAATCAACAAGAACCATACAGGAAAACAAGTCTAGATGGTGGATGTTCTCGCGAACCGACACCGCAGGAACCCCGCGATCCCGTACTAGGGAAATAGGATACCGCGTTCTCTGTTCCTTCATCAATGACTTCATGCCCTGGATTATTGGCTCGTACGTGATCTTCCAGGCCTTCAAGTATGGAATGCTAGAGCTGGGCTTGGCAGCCTTTCTTGTGATGTTGTCGGTGCATGGGATTCTTAAGTGGTGCAACGCTGCATCAGCCATCAGAGATGACAACATTGACGATCTCGAGTCGGAGGTGAGCCTTTGAATTTGCGCTAATTGCTTCTACTTTTTTCTACGCACAACTTGCTTAAAAAGTAGTAATATTTTTAGCATGGTTCCAAAAAATTTTGGTGGCTCCAGGAGGTAGAAAGCAGGGGACTTTTTAAGCAAGAAGCTCTGTAAGCGGAAATACAGTACGTTACTTCTGAACCATGTTCGCAGATATATATTTTCAGTCAACACCTCGTTACCTAACGATTACGCTGGTTCTTTATATTGCTGACGTCCTGTTTCATTTGCCGTTCGATTTAATATTGTGAGGCACTGTTATATGTAGTTATCGGCTACCTCGTTTTTCTTCTTCTGATGTCCTAAAAAATTAAAAAGTTATTTCATGGTTGCCTGTGAATTTGATATGAAAAGTAACTCGTCATGTTCACATTTCAGTGTGACACTCGAAGAAATTCGTCGGAGACCGACACTTCTCGCGACTACCTCTACCTTCATCATCATCACCGGCACCTCAACGACACCGACTTCAGTTCAAACGATGAGAGTGACGTTACAGACCATAGTTCCGTCAACGATAAAGTGATCATAGTCATGGACGAGCCTCCACCCTCGTATGACGTGGCTTCCAAACCCACAGCCAAAGACCTGGAGTTGGATCTCCAAGTTCACTTAACTCCAATTTTGTCACCTGAACAGTGTGGGTTGAACGGCTATTCGGCAAGTGGCATCGGTCGTTTGGACACCAGGGGCTCCAGAAGGCCGCATGTTCTGCCTTGCTCTTCCTGTGTGTCGTCTGAAGTGGACGATGATTCTTTACCTAGCTACACGGAGGCCACCAAGAGAATTAAAAGAAAGAAGAAAAGGAAGAATAGCGCAAACAATCGCTCACTCATGACCGAAAATAACGATGATACAGAAGAACAAACTCTCATTCATCCGATGGAGAAGAAACACGTGGCTTCTAATGACCGCCAGGTCTCTATCCCAATAGTACATTCTAGTCTGTCGGATGTTGACATCACTGAAGTGCCGGTTGCACATAACGACGGTACTGATGTATGCGCTGATGTGGTGAACGGTGCTCGTGTCGATAGAGTTCGTGATGTGCATACGGGTATTAGGGATACGCGTGAGTCACATACTCACAACTGTACTAGGAGTGATGCAACGTGCATTGTGAGACTTGATGCACGTGATATGATTTCCATATTTCCACACGATGCCAATCTGACTTTCAATTCCTTAGAAATCGTGTAAAGTGCTTTAGTGTACACGCTTTAATTTTTTTTGCAGCTTCTTATTCTGCCACATGTTTCTCCGGTTCTAAACTAACGTTATTATTATCTTTCAGTGAAAACTTACAAAATATTCTTAGTGAATAGTGATGTTTTAGATATATAATTAAGCGTCTATAAGAATTTGTAATAAATTATTAATTTAATGTTGTATCTTATAGTCGAGAATCGCAAGGAGAATGTGACGGAATCAAATTAATTTTCGACCAAAAAGAAATGTTCGTGCTACAACATTGATAAAAATGTAAATAAATTCAATTTTTTCTACAGTGAACTTAGCTATATGTTAACAACAATTGTAAACATTATCACCATTATTATGCTCACCTTATTTTTGAACTGCATTGTCGAAGGCTCACAAACGCTTCATCCTCATCGTTCTTTGTGAGCAGTAAAATGCATGAAATTGATCAAAAAAATGTATCGATCAGCCTCAAACGGTCAGCCTCAAATTCAGCCCATATATGTAGGAGTTCAGCCTAAATGATTGTCTGTAATTACCACTTTCCAGTCATTAGCGCCGAATGAGTGGAATCTGCTGGCAGTATCAAGCTAATATCTTTTTTTGTCCTCAATATTAATGATGCTAGAGCCGTGGTCCTTAACATTAATGATGCCAGAGCCGTGGTCCTCAACATTAATGATGCTAGAGCCGTGGTCCTTAACTTTAATGATGCTAGAGCCGTGGTCCTCAACATTAATGATGTCAGAGCCGTGGTCCTCAACATTAATGATGCTAGAGCCGTGGTCCTCTACATTAATGATGCTACAGTCGCGGTCCTTAACTTTAATGATGCATAGAGCCGCGGTCCTCAACATTAATGATGTTAGAGCCGTGGTCCTTAACTTTAATGATGCTAGAGCCGTGGTCCTCTACATTAATGATGCTAGAGCCGCGGTCCTTAACTTTAATGATGCTAGAGCCGCGGTCCTTAACTTTAATGATGCTACAGTCGCGGTCCTTAACTTTAATGATGCATAGAGCCGCGGTCCTCAACATTAATGATGTTAGAGCCGTGGTCCTTAACTTTAATGATGCTAGAGCCGTGGTCCTCTACATTAATGATGCTAGAGCCGCGGTCCTTAACTTTAATGATGCTAGAGCCGTGGTCCTTAACTTTAATAATGCTAGAGCCGTGGTCCTTAACTTTAATGATGCTAGAGCCGCGGTCCTTAACTTAATGATGCTAGAGCCGTGGTCCTTAACTTTAATGATGCTAGAGCCGTGGTCCTCAACATTAATAATGCTAGAGCTGTGGTCCTCAACATTAATAATGCTAGAGCCGTGGTCCTTAACATTAATGATGCTAGAGCCTCAATCCTCAAACTGCCAGCGGCCTTATCACCATGCAGCTTTATCCAAGTATACGCAAGGCGGTAACGCCTTTACTCGCCACACACTCAATGTTTCACTAAAAAATACTTACTTATTGAGTCTATCTTCGGCATATGTGGCTGTCTATTGTATGGGCAGTGTGACTGCGTATCTTTGTCACCTGTGGCTGTGTATCTTTGATGCATATGGTTGTATATATGCCTCACGGAGCTTTGTCTCTATATCCAATGTGGCTGCGCATCTTTGTCACATGAGACTTTATGTATATTTGCCGCATTTTATTGTGTAGCTTTTTCGCATGTTAATGAACATCTTGAACGCATGTGGCTTGGTATCTAAGCAAATATGTGGCTGTGAATCTTTAGCGCCTTTGGCCGTGCATCTTCATCGTCTGTGGTTGTTTATCTTATGCAGTTTTGTATCTTTGGAACACGTGTCTTGCACATTTGCAAGTGTCTTGTACATTTGCAAGTGTCTTGTACATTTGCAAGTGTCTTGTACATTTGCAAAACTCGTGTCTTTGGAACACGAGTTTTGCCACATTTGTTTCAGTATACTTGTTGCCGCTCTGTATACAAGCCATTTTGTTTTGCAAACTACTTCGACGTGCAAGCCATTTTGTCCTGCAAACCTTTCTTGCTAACTTTTTCTGCCAGCTATTTTCTTTTGCAAACTATTTCCCTTTGCAAACTTCATTGTTGTACAATATTTGGTTTTTCAGATTATTTTGTCTTACAAACTATTTTGTTTTGCAGACTATTTTATTTTCGCTTTGAATGCGATTTACTTGATAAGAGAACTATCATGGGGCTGGTCGCGATATCTCATTTTTTCTATCTCATAATTATTTATGCATGACTGATTATAAAGATGACACACACCCTGTACAATTAAATTAGCAGTAGTTAGTAAATTCGAATAAATATTTCGGTTTACACGAGGTGTGCCGAATTACATGTTCCTTCATCGCTGCTATCAAGCTGCTTCGCTGCACCTGACATGTTCATAAGCGTTTCATTTTCATAGGTTTATTTTTATAAGCATTTCTAATTGCAAGATCTAACGCCTAGATGTTAAACTTCGTGCAACCCGATAGGCAAAGGTAATCTACGCAAAAAGTTTGGATTTAAACTTTATCTGCGTAAATAGAATAATTAAATAGTAATTTATCTTATGTCAGCGTTGAACTCGAGCAACGAATATGTTCATCTGAGTTGCTTTTGAATGTATTTGAAATATTTCGATTAAAACCTAACAATGTTTGTATAGATCCATATCCTGATGTGTATCTAGGATAATCATTCATTTTTTACAATGGCGCTTGCTTAATGTAACTAGTGAATTAATAAATTCAGGCGTAAACATAACTGTGGAGAGGCAGGGTGGCCCAGTGGTTACAGTTCAAAGTACTAGAATGCGAGTTCGATCCCAGTTACATGCAACATTTGTGGTCAAATCGGCGAGAAGGCCGGGCGGTAAAACACAAGTAAATTGGAGTTTTAAGTTGCATGTTCGAGACCAGCAACAAGCTGTGAATATTTCTGCGATGTTAAGAATCGGTGTCAAGTCTAACGGCCTAGTGAACGCCGACACCGCTATCCTATTTTTTCCCATTTCTAATGACATGAACATATCAATATTTAAAATAATATAATTCATTTTGCACTGCATCACATTCAAATATTCCAGCTAGCGTGAACTCAATCATCATCCAATCCTAGAAGTTAGACGAGTTAATCAGAAGCTATAAATTTTTCTTTTTGTTCTTGTCAACGGTTAAGAAATCCATGTCTCCTGTGAATGCCGTTTGCCTTTTGTCCACTGCAGTCACGACCACAAAGTAAGTCGGCGTGGTTGCTCAGGTTAATGGCAACATAATCGATTTGATTTTTTCAGAAAATATATTTTACTTGGTGTAGCTATACATTGCAAAAGTTGTCTTGTCGAAACTTGTCTTGAATGATCGAAAGAAAATGTATTTTCTATATTCTAGCAATACTTGCAAACTAATATTGATCAATGTATTAATGAATACGTGTATGGCATTCGTTGTGTTATAAATACGCAATTCTTCCCCTATATAAATTTTAATGTAAAATTTAGCGAACACTAATAATTACATATTTCCATCCTTATGACGATCACAGTCCGATGCATCACCACAACATCCATTATGTTCCGCAACACCGGCGCCCCACGCAACATTCTTCTTGTTCCGCAACACAGACGCTCCACGCAACATTCTTCTTGTTCCGCAACACAGACGCCCCACGCAACATTCTTCGTGTTCCGCAACACAGACGCCCCACGCAACATTCTTCGTGTTCCGCAACACAAGCGCCCCACGCAACATTCTTCTTGTTCCGCAACACAGACGCTCCACGCAACATTCTTCGTGTTCCGCAACACAGACGCCCCACGCAACATTCTTCTTGTTCCGCAACACAGACGCCCCACGCAACATTCTTCTTGTTCCGCAACACAGGCGCCCCACGCAACATTCTTCTTGTTCCGCAACACAGGCGCCCCACGCAACATTCTTCTTGTTCCGCAACACAGACGCCCCACGCAACATTCTTCTTGTTCCGCAACACAGGCGCCCCACGCAACATTCTTCTTGTTCCGCAACACAGACGCCCCATGCAACATTCTTCTTGTTCCGCAACACAAGCGCCCCATGCAACATTCTTCTTGTTCCGCAACACAAGCGCCCCACGCAACATTCTTCTTGTTCCGCAACACAAGCGCCCCACGCAACATTCTTCTTGTTCCGCAACACAAGCGCCCCATGCAACATTCTTCTTGTTCCGCAACACAAGCGCCCCATGCAACATTCTTCTTGTTCCGCAACACAAGCGCCCCACGCAACATTCTTCTTGTTCCGCAACACAAGCGCCCCACGCAACATTCTTCTTGTTCCGCAACACAAGCGCCCCATGCAACATTCTTCTTGTTCCGCAACACAGGCACCCCACGCAACATTCCTCTTGTTCCGCAACACAGACGCCCCACGCAACATTCTTCTTGTTCCGCAACACAGACGCCCCACGCAACATTCTTCTTGTTCCGCAACACCGGCGCCCCACGCAACATTCGTTGCACCCACATCAGCTCACGTTATCTGTGCACCTCCATTTGTATGAGCAGGTTTTCCGATGCAGAGGCACGCGCTTGCAAGTTCCAGGTGAAGGATGACACATCGAGGAGTGAGTTACAAGTAGCTTGATGATAGAACCTGTTGCGAGTCGTGCTATTGCATGCTGCATTCTCATCCCAGGCGCTGTGCTGCATCATTTCTGGATAAGCCTGGCCGTTGTAAAAGGGTAAAGACACACGTACACATGCTGTGAGAACGTGCCTTTGCTTTGAGTGGGCAGGTATAATTTGAAGAGAGTTTCGATAATGAATACTTTCCGGTGTGATTAGAAAAAGTGTTTCATAATTTCACTGTAAACTACAAATTACACACAGCCATGTAAAGTACAGTTTACAAATTATTGAATAGATTCAAGGCTACTAGGCTTTAACATGCCCGTTTGTTAAAATACACTAAGTTGTCTAAGATATGATTCATTCCAAAACTTTCGATGGCATGTCTTATAGGTAGGTAAAGAAATAGTGTTACAGATTTTAAGAAAAGTTCCCATTTCGGAGAACCACTTTCAAGGTTTAAAAATTTGAAATTAGCGCTTATACCTACAGTGCTAACTGACCTTCATCGTTTAGTTTTGCTTGTCATAATTATCTGATGCTCCTATATCTTAAGAAGATCTTTAGTTAAATGATAGTTTAATGGTCATGATGACTAAGCATATCACTTTGGCAAATCCCGCGGCATTGTCATCCTTGTTGTCTCGCGACCTTGAGGAAGATAACGTGTGGTCTCGCGCGGTTTTTTCGCGCTAAGGAATCATTGGACGAGACGACCTTCGGACGAGCCTTGGAATTGACGCATCGGCAAGGCAAGTCACGCGCCTTCAATACGCCTTGGGAGCGCACTGCACGCCTTGGTAGCGCACTGCACGCCTTGGTAGCGCATTTCCAAACTCTAGGTTCGGGCGCACGACAGCAACAAACAACTGCTTCATCGTTCCTGCATCTAGGAACTCGAAAGAGCGTCTGATCAGTCCAAGTCGTTTATTGGCTTTATTAACTTGACCTTCAATATGCTTAGAAAATTATGGACGGGTCTGCATGAAATTTAGTCCTATACAAATTATTGGCAATAATTACCGCGGGGTAATTATAAAAGATTTTATCGTTATTTCGTTCTCGATTAAAACGAAAAAACGCAACTTATGCGAACATTAATTTACCTCAATTCTGAACGATCTGCTTGGAATGTAAAATATAACTAATTAATAGCAAGATACCGGGACAGGAACCGTTGCTAATTTTTAAGTTGCTTCGTTTTTTATTAACAAATATCTTTAATTAATTAGGTTAGATCATGTTAAAATAGGTGAGGATTAGTTAGGTTGCGTTATTTGTTATTGCATCACAATGGTCCAACTTATCTTTACTTAACCTATCCCTGCCTAACCTAACCGAATTTTTGTAAAGCTTCGTTTAAATCGAAAACGCAGAAACGTTCAAATTTGCGACGATCTGCGGTGTCTGGTGATTAATTTGTTATGATATATATTTCATGCATATTCGTTCAGAATTCAGAAAGTTATGAGCTGTTTACTGGTATTAATCAATTAATCCATAACGAAATGACGTAAAAGTATGCAATTCCTATCGCGGCGGATTGCGTATTATTGTTTCGATGTTTTTTCTGATCTGTTCAGAATTGAAGGACTTTCGAAGTTTCGATTGGCTCAGTTACGTTTTCCGGTTAAGTGTGCGGAGGAGTTTGAAAGTGAGCTCGGTGAGGTGTTGATAGTCTGATAGAGTACCACATGTTCATATTCGTATGCACTAGTCTTCCGTTACATTAAAGTTGACACTACAATGAGATGTTGTTGAGCTCTATTCTACCTTAAAACGACAATTCTCTACGGAAAAGAATTCTTTTTAAATAAACATCGCTCACACGAGATGCAGAGAGCAGAAGGATCAGAAGCAGGAATTTTTCCATTGTTCCCTAATCTAGAAATTATGCTTGCGGAAAATGCACTAGGCTTCGTTTCAACGACAGCAAAAGGTTTTTTTCTGTAAAAATACATTGGTATATAAAATTTTGTTGGAAAGATGTGGTATCCAAGTGGAGCGTAGCCACTCAAGTTATACTTACGTCAGTTACGTGGCATCGTCGTTGCATCAATGCTCTGTAAATTGGTCGCCACGTGATTGAAACGAATATCTTACAAGGTTATTTTTTTGCGTGTATTGAAGTTCACACTAGATCGTACAGTGCAGCTGGCAATTGAAGTGCGAGGTTTAAGAACTCGCATTAGAATACGGTAAGTATTTTTTGTGACTGCCAAGATTTTTTTAAGGTGGCATAACAACAGCTTATAGAAAACTGACAGAATGCGATACAGAAAGGTCAGAACTAAAGGCAAATGCGTTACGATATTCATTTTAATATATAGCTTACATCGCAACGTTCACGTGCCCAGTAAAGCTTAATCGAACGTATAAAATAAGATATGAATTAAATACATCAATTTCTTATCAGTGCATAAAGTAAGTAAAGCATTTAGTGTAATAGATTATATATTAGGTATTCATGGTATTGCACTATGCGGGAGCCCTAGGGTCGTGTTGAGTGTTGTACACAAGGCTCGACCAGTCAGGCATGGGCGCGTTGCTCTTGCAGGCGGCGAGGTATTGTTCCCGCGTGACGCTGCGCGGCGCCAGTCCCGCCTCTGTGCTTCCAAGCAGGCAACCTGCACAATCATTCAGACATGATTTTAGTTATTTACCTTGGCCATTATTGATATAACATGCATACCATTGTTGATAACATTATAATTAGCTGCTGGTAAACTATACCTAACCCGACAAATGAGGCTACACCACATATTGTTAAACTCTTGCCGCGTTGAGAAACTCTGAAAGGAAGTCTAGTTCTGCTCAGACTGAGGGTACACAGACATGCTAAGAGCAGATTCGTCACTCCTCTCTTTCTACTATAACATCCATTGAAGCCCTGCTCTCTGGCTCTTATCTTCCAACCCTAACTCAGCTATGGTGAGTATTGAAATCGAGGAGAAGTCTACTCGGTTAGGGTGCCACGCAAAGGACCTTATTAATCTTCCTGGTACTTTTATTATTGCTCTTCCTTTCCCATTTCCCTTGTTCCGTTCTTTTCCTTGGCCCAACATGGCTGACCAACAAAAGGACACGAGAGCCCTGGGCAAGGAGCAGCAGTGAAAAAGACATGTCGGATATAAATTGAATGCCGTTTTCAAAGCATTCAAAACGATTAAAAATTCTATAGGCTGCACTGTCCAAAGCCAAGTCGCTGCAGAACAATATGGGCCAGGGAGCAGGGTTTGAGCATGACCCATAAGAAGAGAAAGCAATGATGATCCTGAACGTCTCGGCAGTTTCCGCGCGACATAGTGCATACCCTTCAGAGAAGTGAGTCCATACGTCATATTCATGCCTTTTCAGCATGCCTTCTTTCTTTGTACTACCTCCTCCTCTTCTATCACTTTGTCCTAACTCCTCTTCTCTCACGCAAGCCCTTGTGTCTCAAACAACATCCACTTGAGCGTTACGACCAGCAGACAAGTAACAGCCTGATGCTCCCATCACCTCCCAGCCACGTGACGCAGTTATCAGGCACGGGAGGCTTGTGAAGCTTGAAGGTGTATGGCGCCATGTCGCCCCTGGTAGACTGCAGACGCAACTCTTGTAACAAGCGCTTCTTTAAACCCAGCATCGCCGCCGTCCCGCCAACCACTACCAAGTTCGCTGTCATCTCCCGTCGCACGTCCACAGGGCACTGCTCAATACGTCATTGTTTAGCCCGTACATCATCTATTACATGACGTACATTTATAGTACGTACAGCAGAGTACACTAGTTATTTACATAGCTTTCCAGTTCACTGCTTATATACCGTAGCTTTATGTCATTCATAGAACGTACAGCGGAGTACACTACATTCAGAGCATAGCGGCATTTAAAGAACATACTACAGAGTACACTACTTGCATAGCTTCACGTCATTCATAAGCAAACAGCAATAAGCGGTTCGTAAGCAAATCACATGGCCTCCAGAAGCGGTTAGACGTTTTACATAGTTTTCTTCCAGACCAACAATAACAGCAAAATGAGAAATTATGAGCAAGTTAGAGCCTTTGCATTGCAACGACCGTGGTATCTAACGAAATTGTGGGTTCAGAGCTTTCGAGAATAGCGAGGAAGAACATTTACGCTTACACACCTGCTGTGAAGGCTTTGGTGTCATGTTAACAACAAAAGTAATATCAATGCAATTACTTTCGATTAAACTTTTTAAACAGCTACGTTAAGAATCTTCATATTTCTTTTCTAAAATAAAAGATAATTGCCCCAAAAGGGTTGTACTTTGAACATTTGGTTAGCGCTATATAGCATGACTGGCAATTGAACTATTAAGATCGCTTTAACCATTCATGTGCCCCGCATTACACAAATGACGTTTCTGATTCATTTATGTGTACACATTTTAACGGATAAAATAATTCCAGGTTACATTGGAATTCCCGGCAAATTGGATTAATTGAAGGAAAACTGTCATGAAAAAATTCACAACTCAAAATGTTGAGAAAGCATCTCTGCAAGAACGCATATCATATATATACAATAACAGACATTGAAAATATTCTACGTACCAAATCTTTTCATATTCTCATTTATAAAACTTCTCTCACAACTGATGCTCATGACACAGGCACAAGTACGAGTAAGGTTTAAAGATGGAACTATTTCGTAGAGCCTATGAATCATTTATCCTTTAGTCATTTTATCCTTTTTTGTGTCGATTTATTTTTCGTTGGCTATTAATCATATGTGTGATGTGCCCTCGAAGTTCGTTTGAACCAGACGCCACGATAAATGCTCCATGGAATACTAATAATAATAAAAATGTAACTCAATACTCACTGCAGTGAGTGACAGAGAGCGCATTTTCTCGTCGACGAAAACGTGAAGTCACGGACGGACGAACAGACAGACAGACAGACAGACAGACAGACAGACAGACGGACGGACGGACGGACGGACGGACGGACGGACATGGCGAGCACAATAGTGCATTTTTTCCATAAATGAGAAAATGCGCTAAAAAGGACAATAATAGTCCATATTCTGAAGCCCTCACTTTGTTGATGGCGTCCAGGATGATGCTGGGCAGGCAGAGGTTGTCGGCATCCGTCTCGAAGAGCACCTCGGCAGCCATCTCCCTGACAGTGCCTGCGTGGTACGAGGCTAGCTTAGCTCCACACAATCATTGTAAGGCTAAAATTATATGAATAGTGCTTCATATATTGAAAATCACTCAAGCCTGTGAACTTAATCAGTTCCAAAATAGAAGTTAACAATAGAAGGAAAATCTAGTTCCACATAGTTGGATCCAAAATAAGCGCACAGATTCATACATTACTTATCCGGAATTCCACCCTAGCACACATTAAACATCGATACGAGACAGAAGCACCCTAAACTGGGGGTGACTTGGCGCCTTGAATCGTGGTGACTTCGACCAATAATACCTATATAAAGATAAACACTTATACCGTCATGAAGATCTTCATTGAGGCCATTTGATTCTTGTTTAACTTTCGTTATGAATAAGCCCTGTTTTGCTTGATTCTTCATTAATTTAATTTTGAGTCACGTCAGTCAATTGACTTATTAAAAGTTATTCAGCTTCAGGTTTCCATACATTGGATTCACCAAAATTCTAATGAGCCATTTAAGTCGTTTCATAAAATGAAGACGACTCAAAGCCGTCAATTATTTAAGTTTCTCTAATGCGATTCAATAGAAAACTTTTTAATAGGATATTGAAAAACACGGTCATACCCGAGATGAAATGAGTTACGAGATAACGAACTTGAGAAAGGTTGTAACGTGCACTCGAACTTTTGTACCAGACGTCACGATAATCTCTTTGCAGAATAATAATAATAATGAGATTGTAACATTCCCTCTAAATTTTGTACGTACCAGGCGTAACGATAATCTCTTTGCAAAATAATAATAATAATGAAATGAGATAGAAAAAGATACCTGATATTTTGAGAGTGCGCTCCCCAGAGAGAGGGTAGAGGACATCAGGAGGGGGAGGTGGAGGCTCATTGCTGCGGTCAGCTTTGTTCTGATGTAGCCTCTCGCTGCGCTCCGGCGTGCTTACAAAACAGCACCGAACTGCACACAGTCAAGAATTTATTGAGGAATATTATGAAGATAATTCATCACTTAAGGAGGATCAGATGTGCAAAATATTTAAATACTAGTTTGAGAGACAAATTCTAATTGAGTTTGGTAACAGGATGCTGGCTTGGCAGGACAATACAGGGGTCTATCCTCAAAAAAATTTTTTTGTTTGTTTTGGGGTGTATTCAGAACCTTTCAGAGAGAAATCTTTGCCAATATTCGAATTATTCAACATGTATAGCTTATATTGCCTAATCGGTCAAAATTCACCTTTTCTGAGGAAATCCATTCTTCAGACTCTATGTTGAAGAACAACACCAGAGTCTTGTGCTAAATCGCAACCTTCAAGCTAGGCGTTGTGAATTGAATGGGATAGACATAAACTCAACAAAATTTCGTCAAAAAGATAAATTTTCATAGATCTAGTGCAGGCAATTCTCCAGAAAACATGCATTTGATTAGAGGAACATAGGAGCTGGCTATCAAAAGCAAAATATTCTTTTGTCATTGACAAATGTGTCATCTTGGATTATCAACATTCATAACGATACCAAAAAATATTAATGTCTAACAAAAATACAAATTTGTAACAAGTAACTTTACATATTATATGTGAAGTCTGTGAGGAACAGTATTAATGATTCATGTCTTCTTTACCATATACTTGACATACTCACCTAAGATATCCTCAAGCCTCTGAGATGTAAGAAGCTGCAGATCTGAGTCCTGCAGGCTGGTGGCCTCTCCATCTTCACCTATGACGCTGCTGCGCTCCTCCAGCAACGCTTTCAGGCTCCTGTGTCAACCAACACAACAATTAACAATATAACAAAAAATTCATGCTGAACATAAGATAAATGGCAATTAATTGAAAAAAATTAAATTTTCACCAGTAGGAACATTCCATTGGAGCTAAGTTTAATAATCAAACGAGCAAAAATTTTATCCATAAAAAAGCTTGAGAGGTTGCATTTGTCTATGAGACTTGCCTATAAGAAAATTTTAAAATCATAGGTAATACCTACTTGGTAATTATGATTACTTTCTAATTGTATATACCAGGGTTGGCGATTTTTTTGATTTTTTTAAAAAAATCAAAAAAATCAAAAATCAATGATTTTTTTGATTTTTTCATGATTTTTTTTATTTATTTGATTTTTTTGATTTTTTCAACTTTTTTGTCTTTTTTAAGTGTTATTTTTTATGTTGCAATTAGCCTACTAACAATAGCAGTAATATGGATCCTAATGGATGGCTAAAAAGGGCACTTATTGCCATCAATAATGGCCAACAGGCCAAGGTGATGTTTACCACTTACGGATTTTTGGGTAAACAATTATTGGTAAGTCTATTCATTAGCTTTGTAAAGTTTGTATGGAGCAAGGTAATGAGCTAAATATTGACCATTTAACTGGCTTCAATATACAAAAACACTTCAGGAATGCAGATCTTCTAAACATTGAAGAGTCACATAGGTAGCTGATAACGCAGTGCACAGCACCATCAATAGATCTACTAGTTTTATGTCATGTAAATGTACCAGACTCTACCCTCTATACACACCGACTAGAAATGACTGAGTGACTGACTGCACTGTTCCCATTTAATTCAGACCAATTAACAAATACTAAACATAAACTGAACGATAACCAAACAAACCTCATACGACTTGAAACGAGACTTAAGTTATGAAAAAATCTAATACAGAGTGAAATAAACATGTGCACAATTCAAATATTTTATATCCATTCATTGCATTTAAATATTTTATATATAGTCTTATAATTGTAATTGTTTTGTTTCTAGTTTTAAATTCACATATTTAAAGATTGAAATTAAATATTTCAATTAGAATACTCATATTAGGGTGGAAAATCTAATTGCCCAAAAGGTCAATACAATCTCAACCTTTCAATATACAGGGTGGGGTGAACCGATTGAGCAGTTTTGAGGTAAAATAAAAGAGTAATGGAGATACATAAAGAAGAAAGTTTATTTTCCTAGAAGTTAGCATAACATACCATTTAGAATACTTATGTTTTGAAAACAATATCTGGAAGATGGGGGCCGTTAGCTGCAACACACTGTTGGAGTCGTTCTCAGAGGAGGGAGTAACCGTAACAGTGAATTCTGATCGCTATGCTGCAATGTTGCAAAATTTCTTGCACCCCATGATGGAAAACATTGTTGAAAATGAAGCATTGGGAGACATGTGGTTCCAGCAGGATGGGGCTACAGCTCACACAGCCCGAATGTCGCTCTATGTTTTGAAATGCATGTGTATTGCAACACTTGATGCCTCTGTACCAAAAACATTCAATTTATTGGAACCTAATACACACTAAAGGCAACAAGTTTATATACCAATTTGTCATTCATAGTACATTTATACTAAATCATGAATAACAATACCTCAATATAAATTAAAGACTGCCACTCAATATATTTAAATATATGAAAAAATCAAAAAAATCAAAAAAAGCAAAAAAATCATGATTTTTTTATAAAAAATCAAGTGATTTAATCACATGACTTAATCATTTTGATTTAATCATTGCCAACCCTGGTATATACATAGTTTCAAAATTCAATCCAGAAGTACATTATTCTTAAGTTATTAATTTGTATCTATTATATACTGTTCAAAACAAAATCAACTGTAAATAAATGATGAATTCGGTATGACGATGAATTTAGCCAACATTTTGATTGGAAATATGAATAAGGTGGATGAGAATACAAATGACTTTGCTTTTCCTGAGTGTCGAGACAAGAAATTTGTGGATCAATTGCCGGATACGATATGGAATGGGTGAAAGGGAATGAAAAAAAAATCTGGAGAGAGAACAAAAATAATTGAGAACCTGATACCATTATAATGAACATATGATCAGTACAAGAAATGTCATGCCCCTGGAAATGTGATACGTAGCTCTGAACACGGACAATAATGTAATTCTACCAGTCTTTGTTTTTCTTTTTAAGTCTACCAGTGAGAACAGGGACATGACAGATAATTAAAGAGGTGTAGTAACATTTCTTTGTAGCAACAAGTAACATTAGCCACTGTAATGTTCCTGGCATTTCAGTTCAACGAGCCAACAGCACTAGTACCTATTCTTTCTTGCTTGAAGACATGATATCTTTGAGATTTTAGTCAACTTTTTTCTTCTTCATGGATCACAGAAGGCATGGTTCTGCTGCATTTAAAAAAAATTTATAACCGCCCTAAAGTGAGGCCTTGCATTTCTTGTCTAAAATGTTGGACTGATATTACACATTTAAACATCTAATGAGTTGTCTTTATTATTTTTTTTAAAAGGAATAATTTCTAACTGATGCGTGAAGCTGTTTTCATATACACCCTCCTCTAAAACTAAAATATAATGCTCTATTTTCTAAGCATAATAATTAATAATTCCAGCAAAATTGTAGTTATTTCTGCAAAAATATTGTAAAATTCAAAGACAAATATTGCATCAATTTCACTAACATTTGCATAGCTTTGGCTCCCAGTGGGAGAGCTTGCCAGGCATTGAGGATAGCCACGCCTCCAAAGACAGGGATGACTGAGGCTTCAGAGTAACCTATGTCCACCACAAGCCCCGTCTCCACTCCCAGCGTGAGCAGTGCAACAAGATGTGATGGCACAAACGACACAGACACCATCTGCACACAGTTTAAAACACAAGTTAGACAGCATAAGCACTCAGATTTTAGGCACAATTGTAACTATGAAATCTGTCAAGGGTTAAATCTGGAGCTACTAATGTAAGAAAAATTTATGCCTAATCTTAGAAAGTTAAAATAGAATTTTCAACGTGGATATATTAGGTATACAACTGCAATATAGTTATAAGAAACATTTCATTCAACATTCAAAACATATAAAAATCATCTATAGTTAGAGCATAGCCATGCACAGAATTGCTTACTTCAAAATGCCTGAAAAGAACACAGGCAATTGTTTCTTTAATGATTGAACTCCCCAATAGATTTTCAACAACCACAATTCGTCTTTCCTTGGGGTTGACCAATAGACACCTGCAGTTGAGGACAAATGAGTAGGTATACACATATATTTGATGGATGGAAAGTCTCATCTTTAAGATATTAGGCTATGCAATATTTTGAAAAGAAAAATAATTGCTCCCACTGTTTCTTAATTTAAATCAAAGTTGAATGATGATAAAAGCAATATTGTTTATTCTAATATACATAGTATATTAAATAAATGGGTGCAATTTTCTTTTAAAGTGAACCCTTTTAGTTCATTTTCTGGCATACTGGTACATACATACCTATACCATCTTCTAGCAAGATATCAGCAGGGATCCATTTAAAAATGATAGATGATACATCTACTATACAAATATAGACTAAGCTCATCAATAACACAAAATTATTTTTCAGATTTAAAAATTGTAATCTCATTATTTTCAATAACATAGATTTCTTAATACTTTATTCTCCTAATCAAAGAATAATAGATGTGAAATATGTTCAGGGTCTTCAAGTGGGGCTTTTAGCAGGAAATTACTTCCAAGTAATTTTTTAAGGTAAATAATTCAAATTATTGCACAAGATGGAAATAAAACTGATGGAAATAAAAATGATGAGCTTTACCTGATGTAAATTTTGAGGATAAAAAGTGTAATTCTGCGGCGCAGGATCTGAGGATCAGAGCTCTCAAAGACGGGTACATTATTGCCAGTGTCTGGGCACTCGACAACACTCGCAACAATTGCTCGGGGTCCCGTTTCTCCAGCAAACCCAACCCTGTGCAAAAATTATATGTCATACAAAAATCACAGATTAGTTAGGAGGCAATAGCCAGAATTGGTATGCTTGTTGATACTGTACATGCAAGGATGGAAACAATCTCAACAGCATTTAGCACTTTTATGGCAGGATTGCTTGTTAAATATCTTACTTATTACTCAAATTGTGCAGCAATAATGTGATTTTTTCCTATATTTAGAATCCCACGGCCTGAGCGTGCACTTGTGTCAACAATCAGAAAAGAGAATTCATTTAGCAAATTTCATGAGGCTTTAAAATATGACAGGAAAGCTCTAGTTGTGGCTGGAAAGGTAGATATATTCCACCCCAAATGTTAGGATACAAGTTGAAATTAAAATTGCTGACTATGAAAATAATGAAATTGTTGACTATTATAATAACTATTAATTTCCTATCCTCATTTTTCCACAGTGGACATGATTACAGTAACTAATTTACATCAAGATAATTGGTGTAAATGTCAACATAATTATTGCAGTCAACTTCTCCAACTTGACAAAAACTGAAGAAAGCTATAATAATTTCTGGATGTTCAGTCTGACCACATTAACACCCTTCAGAAAAAACTGTAGGCTGCCAGCTTTTTTTGACTTGTCCTTCACAACTATCCAGGGCCAGGCTCTGTTATAAGCAAGTTAAAGAAATCCCTTTGTGATATCCATGACACTGGACACAAGAGTCAACACTCAGTTACTGAGCAGTGCTGAAGTTTAATTCAGGGCAAGAATGAAAATTTAGTAGGTATACCTATCAGTCATGGATGTCAAATTTCCAATTGGATCACTTAAGGGACACCAAATTTCCATAATAAGTAGAAAATAATACCAATCCTGCTCAAAATGATGTAATACTGGTCAGAAGAACAATTTGTAGGGTTCAATAACCACATGTGACACGCTGAATACGATGTCATTTTGATTACACGAGGGAGACCTGGTTCAGTTTTGTTTATAAAATGTAAATCTTCTCATGAAGGCCAGCCACCAGCAACTCAAGTGCTGTGGCAAGGTTCTTGGCATTAATGGGAGTCAATATTTTTCACTGGTTTATGAGTTAAAAAACATGAATGATATAGCACACTTAAAATTAACTTACTTTGTATAGGCAGATCCAAAGTCAAAAATCACTGTAGTATGTTTTTCATCATGCAGTGTAAGACTGCTTATGCTTTCATATAGAGGCATCTTAAAATATTTGTATGATTTGTGATCTATCAAATAAATAAGGATTATACTTGGAAAAAAGACTATGATATTTCTATGATGGGAACTACTTAACCCTTGATTTGAGCATGCAAGTTACTACCTATAGATGGTCATGTAAAATCGCCTATTAAAAGCTAAAAAAAAACCAACAGCCTCCACATAGTGTTTGCTGCTATGTTATCATGCTACTGCCAAGTGCATACCATTGATACCACCAATCATCTGATCATCATTCCATACATAGTAGACTCTTGCAATAGGCCCCAACAGGAAAATCAAGCAGAAGTTGCACTTAATGGGACAATAACTCCAGTGAATCTATCCAATTTCACACATTGCTATTGCTTTTTCCCAATTTCTTCAGTGAAAAATAAAAAATATAACTCAGTACTCACTGCAGTTAGTGACAGAGAGGGCATTTTCTTGTCAACGAAAACATGAAGTCACGGACGGACAGACAGACGGACAGACATGGCGAGCACAATAGTGCATTTTTTCATAAATGAGAAAAGCGCCAAAAATGGTCTCATTTACCAGTGATTTTCAAAATTCACCCATGAACCGATAATTTTTACATGCAATTTTGGGAAACTTCTGCCCAATATTCTAAATTGGATGCACAGAATTAAATAAAATCAATAGGATTAACATATTAAATAATTTAACTTGTAAAAAAAGTTGCACACAGGTGTTGGCTTAAAAACTTGATTGACGGAATTTGCGTAGCTCAATTAAAAAATATAACTCTGTACTCACTGCAGTGAGTGACAGAGAGTGCCTTTTCAGAATGAAAACGTGAAGTCACCGACAGATGGACGGAGAGAAAGATGGCAATGACGAGCACAATAGCGCCTTTTTTCCATAAATGAGAAAATGCGCTAAAAACAGCCTAGTCGATCATAGAGGTTGACCTGAAGAGATTTAATGGGAGGTCATGTGAGTTGAGTCATTTGTCACCATTTATCAAACATGATAAAACAAGATTGATTTGATGCCAGGCTGAAGGTGAAGAAGAAGTCATGCGCAGACCGCTTCTAACACCTGGACTCAGCAATTATTGTTTAATTTAATTCAAGTCTTCATCTTCTCACTTTCAGCTTCTCTCCTTCCTCTCTCAGCTGGTACTTGTTCTCCAGGTTGTCTGCCATCTCACGATGTGTAGCAAATTGTTGTTAGATCCAGTGCTCTTCACTAGCTATAAGGTAGCATGACGACCAGTTTGTGTGAGATATGTAGCAGTTGCTCGCACTATGGAGTGCCGAACTCTTCTGGGTAATTACCTCCCCCAAGAAGTACACACACAGAGATGAGAGGGACTACCAGAGCATTGATGCTTGATACCATCACATGTCTCTAACAGACGTATTGGGCACAAATCAGGAGGAAGTGTTCGACTGTTTCTTCAACCCCACAATGCAGGCACATGGGAGTGTCAGCCATCCCAAGAACAAACTCCAACATGTCCCAGATGGAGGCAAGATAAAACAACTGAAATATGGCAAGAATGACAAGCAATCCATGGGAGTGGAGACAATCCTGAACAAATGGAAGCAAGATGATGGCCCTGTCCATCAGTCGCCACCTCAGAAACCCAATCCAACTCCCAAAAATTAGGGAAGCCTGTCCGAAGCACAGCAAGGGCATCTGAGCAAGGTAGAAGAAACAAGGCAGAGTGATGCAGGTGATGTCCCAGTTTGGCAGCAGCATCAGCACTTTCATTACCAGCAATGCAACTGTGGGCCCTACTGCAGATGCACAGACTTTGAATCATTCAGCCGTGACAGCAGCTCACAGATGCAATAGACGAGGTTACAACAAGTGCCAGTAGGTGATAATAATAGCTGCAAAGCTACAAGAGAGTCAGAACAGATGACCCATTGAGTGAAAGAATCAATTTCAATGAGCCTCAGGGCCTGCAAAATTGCAATTAGTTCAGCAGACAACTCACTATGGTATGGATTCAACCTCCAAGCAATGGCTTGTTTCATGGATGGAACATAAAGTTCACATGAAGTGGATAGGTTGTCAACAAATATTGAGCCATCACAATAGATTGCTTTGTAGTTTGGATATTTTTCATCCAGATGAGCAGCAAAGAGGCTTGGTGTGGCAACCTCAGAATTTGATTGGAAATCAAGACAAATGGGAAGACAGCAGGGTTGGCAATGATTAAATCAAAATGATTAAATCATGTGATTAAATCACTCGATTTTTTTATAAAAAAATCATGATTTTTTTTATTTTTTCGATTTTTTTGATTTTTTCATATATTTAAATATATTGAGTGGCAGTCTTTAATTTATATTGAGGTATTGTTATTCATGGTTTAGTATAAATGTACTATGAATGACAAATTGGTATATAAACTGGTTGCCTTTAGTGTGTTTTAGGTTCCAATAAATTGAATGTTTTTGGTACAGAGGCATCAAGAGTGCAATACATTGTATGTAGCTAGCAGCTTAGCTAATTCTTATAAGGCTATAAGTAGTCTTTAACTATTTGACTATTTGTTATGTATTGATTACAATATACAATTTAAATGTGTTAGCTAGCTTATACATGGTGGGGCAGAACTGATTGAACAGTTTTGAGGCGAAATCCAAGAGTAATGGAGGTACATAAAGAAGAAAGTTTATTTTCCTCAAGATTAGCATAACATACCATTTAAAATACTTATGTTTTAAAAACAATATCAGGAAGATGGTGTTTGTTAGCTGCAACTCACTGTTGGAGTCATTCTCAGAAGTTTCCTACAGCACATTCACACATATGGCAAGGTATGGCCATAACCTCTGCTGCAATAATCCGTTCCCTTAGCTGTGGTATGGTGTGAGGGCGACTTCTGAACCCCTTTCTTTTAGATGTCCCCAAAGAAGGAAATCGCAAATGCTCAAATCAGGTGACCTTGCAGGCTACTGTAAATCAACCCTCAGAGACACCTGATGTCCGGGAAACATGCGTTTCAAAACATTGAGTGACATTCGGGCTTTGTGAGCTGTAGCCACATCCTGCTGGAACCACACGTCTCCAAATACTTCATTTTCAACAATGTTTTCCATCATGGGCTGCAAGAAATTTTGCAACATTGCAGCATAGAATTCACTGTTACGGTTACTCCCTCCTCTGAGAATGACTCCAACAGTGTGTTGCAGCTAACGGCCCCCATCTTCCAGATATTGTTTTCAAAACATAAGTATTCTAAATGGTATGTTATGCTAACCTCTAGGAAAATAAACTTTCTTCCTTATGTACCTCCATTACTCTTTTATTTTACCTCAAAACTGCTCAATCAGTTCTGCTCCACCCTGTATATTGAGAGGTTGAGATTGTATTGACCTTTTAGGCAATTAGAATGATTTTCCACCCTAATACAAGTACCGTATTCTCATTAAAATATTTAATTTCAATCTTTAAATATGTGAATTTAAAACTAGAAATGAAACAATTACATTTATAAGACTATATATAAAATAATTAAATGCAGTGAATGGATATAAAATACGGTATTTTAATTGTGCACATGTTTATTTCAAACAGTGTTAGATTTTTTCATAACTTAAGTCTGGTTTCAAGTCGTATGAGGTTTGTTTGGTTATCGTTCAGTTTATGTTTAGTAGGTTTTGGTTTATTGGTCTGAATTAAATGGGAACAGTGCAGTCAGTCACTCAGTCACTACTAGTCGGTGTGTATAGAGGGTAGAGTCTGGTAGATTTATAGGACATAAAACTAGTAGATCTATTGATAGTGCTGTGCACTGTGCTATCAGCTACCTATCTGTTATGTGACTCTTCAATGTTTAGAAGATCTGCATTCCTGAAGTGTTTTTGTATATTGAAGTCAATTAAATGGTCAATATTTAGCACATTACCTTGCTCCATACAAACTTTACAAAGGTAATGAATAGACTTATCAATAATTGTTTACTCAAAAATCCCTAAGTGAGTGGCCTGTTGGCCATTATTGAAGGCAATAAGTGCCCTTTTTAGCCATCCATTATGATCCATATACTGTTATTGTTAGTAGGCTAATTGCAACATAAAAAATAACACTTCAAAAAGACAACAAAGCTGAAAAAATCATGAAATCAAATAAATCAAAAAAATCATGAAAAAATAAAAAAAATCATTGATTTTTGATTTTTTTTATTTAAAAAAAAAAATAAAAAAAAATCGCCAACCCTGGAAGACAGACAGCGCCATGGTGGGACCGGATCAAACACATGAGTGGGATGACCACAAGGAGTAAGGCCCAGATCGTTTAAAATATGCGAGACACATCGGAGAGCTGAAGGTGTAGCACCGAGCACAACTACAGAGGTTCTATCACTGTTTACACTATATTTAAGGTGGATGTACATACTGACAGCCAGTTTATCTGCATCTCAAACTCAGAGAAGGAACATGAGCTCCAAGTGAAGGGACACTAAGCGTGTGGCCAGTCAAACTTCAAGTATTAGCCGCAGACAAGCATTCTGCAGGATTTCAAGCCACTTTAGTTGGGAGGAAGAAGCAGTTCCATAGAGTATACTACCATAATCTATCTTGGCCCTAATAATGCACAATAAAATATGCGCAAGAAACGGAAACTTGCACCCCAGTTAGAGGAAGCCATATACTTGAGCAAATCCATATGTTGCATCACATCGACCCACAGGTAAGTGAGGTGAGGAACCCACTTGAGGTGTGGGGCATCAAGCATCATTCCGAGTAGCTTATGCCGGCGTCAGTATGTGATGGCTGGGTGGTGATACCACAGTACTGGTACCTTTGCTTGTTTAGTAGTAAAGTATTGGAAAACAGATTTTTGGATGTTCACAACAAACCCCCATGTTTTACAGTAAGAATGGAATTCATCAAATTACCTCTGCATGAGAGATTAGGCAGCAAGCATAGTTGGGCCTTGGCAACAAATGGTGATATCATCAGCATATAGCAACACTTCCACACCTGCAAGCTGTGGAACATCCATTAGCATAAGGTTGAAAAGGAGAGGACTCAACTCAATACAGCACCTTGGGGCATCCCTGCCAGCAAAGGAAGTGCATCTGATAATACTCCATTCACTCTAACGCAAGCAGAGCGAAACGTCAAGTAAGCATGGAGCCACCATGACATAGGCCTAGCTCCACTTAGTCCAGCTTGTAGAGAAGTACATCAATCCATACTTTATCAAAGGCTCCCTGTAGGTCTATATAAACAACCAGTCTACCAGACATACCTCAGATGCTGCCTGGGAGGCTGGGCAGTACGTATGTGACTCTCCCGACTCCTGAGTCCAGTCTGATGAGAACATCCATGGACCATGGTACTCTGTTGTTGTCGAAATCCACACTGATTAGTTGACAAGAGTTTCTTG